ATGGCCTGTCTCGGGTAGTGCACCGTCGGTGCACTGCCGTGTTCTCTCCGCTGCGTCGTGTACAGCACTGTCAAAGCCACGTGTTTGCTTTTAACACGTCTTCTATACATTCAGTAAATTTTCAGCGCTCCGTCCGAGTTCCCTCGGCATGCAAAGTGCTCTTGTGACTTACCTCCGTCTCGAGAATCGTTCTCAAGAAGACACCAGAATTTCTGTCAGGAGCTCGATGTACGTCGTCAGGGGCCGTGCACCAGTGGCGCATGCCCGGCGAGGGAGGCTTACGTGCGGAGACAGACCAGGACCTGTGCGGATCACCGCCGTGCACCAGTGGCGCACGCCGGACTGGGGTACACCCCAGTGCACAGACACGTATTCTGTTGTGCGGGGTATGTCCCGCCGCCGTGCACCAGTGGTGCACGGGCTCGGACCGAGGCCATTAATTTATTGAGTTATCTTGGCGGAATGTTGAATGATCACAGAGAATTGTGCACGCGCTGGAGTGAGGGCGGCATCACAACACGTTGTCTGTGTGACATTGGCGCAGCGTGACAGAGCTCATCCATTGCTCTCCGTTCGCGTTGTCGCGTACGGACTTGCCAGTGCGGTGCACGGACGTGAATATTTCGTCCGCATAATGCAGTAAACCCGACCAGTCTCAGATAGGCAACTGCGAGCCGGAACCTATTATGATCAAATTAACTTAAGCACACAAACTCGGCCGCGGTGGTCAAGACGGCTGTGCATCAGTGGTTCACGGTGCACAGCGCGCGGCGCGCGGCCCCGACAATCCAGGTCCTTTCTACCCGCAAATATACGTATCAACATCGGCTAGCATTTGCGACGCGAAGATACAGGACGGGCAGTGCGCAACAACGAGAATCGGTAGATAGCGGACGTCAAGTCGAGCTCTCAGATTCACCGTCACTGTCGGCTTCCGCGTTGTCATCGTCGCTCGAGTCGCTAATCTCGATGACCTGTTTAGAGCTCTCCGTCAACTACGCAAGTCAGACAATATAAGTTGCGTGCCATTGCATACCTCTAGCGAGCACCGATGTAGTAGCATCTGACACACGAGGCATGGCGGCGTGCTGTTGTGCAGTATGCAGGGGACTTGAGATACGACCCTGCAACAGTAGCACCGTTTTTCTCCGCCCCGCTGTTGCATCAGTTAACACATGAGCATGCTGCGTTCTATCTCATCTATGTAGTGCACTTCATACCCGCTCGAAGACAAAGTCCATGCCGCGCGTCTCTTCAGGCTCGTTGTCCGCGGGATTGCCGTCCGCTTCGGGCTCGAGGTCGCGGTACTGAATGGCTGTCCACCTAGTCAGTCACCGCACGGTATTTTTCCTCAAGACACTTACGCCAGACCAGACGCCTGCCGCCTAGTACTCCGGTTAGTGCACGCTGTACGGGGATTCTGCTCCGCTCACCCTGTAGATATAGCAAGAGCTTCCGAATAATCTTCCAGTTCGTCTCGGACGGCTTGCGTCCGACAACGGTCCGCCACGGAATGTTGTGGTCTTGGATCCACTGCTGGAAGGTCCGCTGCTCGGTCGGCCCACGGGTCACCCAACCCACGGCCGCATTTACGAGGGACGGCAACCAGTAGTTCAGACCGAGGTTCCCGATGGACGTGACCCATTCGCCCGTCTGAGGTGTGGATTCGATCACTGTACCGTACAGCGGGATGGAGACTTACCATTGCTTCCCGCTCGAAGAGCTCTTGGATACCCGCCCATGTCAGATGCCCGTCCAGGATCATCTTCAGCGTATCCTCAAGCGCACCCAGTCTTAGCACATTCCAACTGTCCGGGAGGTCGTCGTAGAAGATTTTGTCCGCATCTTCTCGCTCGTTCGCCCCGAGCCGCAATCGGAAGATCTTGAGCTGAATGCGGAGCTCTGGGAGGGTGTACGCGCCGACCATAGTAGAGCGGAGGAGGATGAAAGTGTGCGGTTGCTGGCGAGCCGTCACCGTATAACTGGCTGACCTCGTGCCGCCTCATGGGCCGCTTGTGCGCTGCGGCATTCTCCGCCGACCACGTTATCACCCCTCTCGCGTGGTGCACTGCCGGTGCACTCCGTGTTTAGGCATGCCTCGTGCACGACTTGTTTTGGGGTAGCATCCGCATTCAGTGTCTCTTACATACAGCGAGGGATTGCGGCGTGATAGACCGGTGCACATTCTGTTGCCGGTGCTCCATCGGTTGACCTCGTGCACCTGTGGGACTGGCACCGTCAGCGGGAATCTAAGCTGCGGCCACAGTGCACGTCTATGAACGGGTAGTCGGACATGCAGCTAATCCGCCCGCCAAGCCTCCAATAAAGGGTGTCCGCCATCCATGTGTGTTGCGGGCGGAGAGCGTCCGGCTCGCTCGACAGCGCGAGGGCTCCCGCCCTCGCGCCGCCGACCTCGCTCGCCGGCCGCTCTCGCCGGCAACACACATTGGAAGGCTTCCACCCTTTTATGTATTCTTGTCAGGCGTCGGAGCATTACCGCGAGCTCATGTCTGGACCAAGCAGGCGATAAGCAATCATGCTGGGACTGTAGCGAGGAGCTGAGGGCACGCTGCGGAGGCCTGTGCACCAGTGGCGCACACCGGACGAGGGCAGTCAGTGGATGCCGAGCCAGAGCGCAACGGGTTCGGCCCACTGCCGTGCACCACTGGCGCACACCTGACAAGGGTGGACAATCTATGCCGAGCCAGAGCACAAAGGGTCTGGCTCACCGCCGTGCACCACTGGCGCACACCGGGCCACGGTGCACCGTAGACTACTGAAGCAGGCGGGGCATGCTCCGCCGTTGTGCACCACTGGTGCATGCCTAATGAGCAGACGCGGACGGACTGTACTGCATGAGGACATGGCCACGTCGCTGTGCACCACTGGCGCATGCTCAGGGAGTGCCCTGGTGTCCAGTACAACAGCGGAAAGACGTGCCTCCGCCGCAGTGCACCACCGGCGCATGCTCCGTTAGCAGGAGGACCTGATACAGCCTCTGCGAGCTGAGGGCACATTGCGGAGGGCTGTGCACCGATGGTGCACACCGGACGAGGGAAGGCAGTGTGTGCCGAGCCCGAGCGCAACGGGTCTGGCCCACTGCCGTGCACCACTGGCGCACACCGGGCCACGGTGCGCCGTAGTGGACAGAGACAACCGATATGCGCGAGCGCATGTTCCGCTGTCGTGCACCCCGCTGTCGTGCACCCCGCTGTCGTGCACCACTGGGGAATGCATAATGAGCAGAAGCGGCCGGTCTGTACTACGTGAGGAGAAGGCCGCGTTGCCGTGCACCACTGGCGCATGCTCAGAGGAAGGCCCTGGTGTTCAGTGTAATGGCAGACAGACGTGCCTCCGCCGCCGTGCACCATCGGCGCATGATCCATTAGCAGGAGGGCCCAAGACAGCCTCTGCAAAGCACAACGGACATGGCCCCGCCGCCGTGCACCACTGGCGCATGCGGTGTGAATAAAAATGCAAGTGCCCGGTGTACTCTTTCTGCGCGAGAGACACGGCCCGGCCACCGTGCACCATTGGCGCATGCGGTGTCAATGAGAATTCTGGTGCACTGCATTTTCCGTGCACAAAGACACGGCCCGGCCGCCATGCACCACTGGCGCAGGCTTCGCTATTGTGAATGCCAGTGCCCGGTGTACTCTTTTTGCGCGAGAGACACGGCCCCGCCACCGTGCACCACTGGCGCATAATTCACTACTGACAGTCGGAGTGGAGGGCTGTCTGTGCATGTCATCCCGTAGATTGTGTGCGTATTCCGTCGTATGCACTACCTTTGTTGTACTTTTCCAGGCTTCCCTGAGGGTTCTAAGACTTGTAGGCAGATGTTCCGTGCTCAGAAGTGCCGTGAGCATCGTATGCCGTGCGCCAGTGAACTTGAACAGTGTCGATTGCAGTGAGGATGCAAGTTCTGTGTTTAATGCGCCAAAGATGTGCATTTATTCCATGAGTATATGTACTCCGGTGCACCGTTTCCTGCGCCATGGCCTGTAATTTCTGTGTGTAGGGGACTTTCCTAGACTTTCCTACGTCCAAAATGTGTCCAATTTCCCCATAACCTAAGCTCGTCCAGATGAGGCTTCTTGGGTAAGAGAACCATGTAGTCATTGTACGTCGTCTTGAGGTAGGTGGCCCAGTGGGAACACTCCGGTACGTCAGCTCACTGGTCCTACAAGTCATCGAATGAGTCCATGAGAAACAGGTAAGGGCATGATGAAATTGAGTGAGTACACAGCAAGCTGACTGGTAGTTACATTCGATAATTGACCCCCAGAAGAGAACGCGCAAAGTACTGGGATAGGGTGCCTGCTGTCCCCCGGCCTCGTCAGAAGAATTCCATAGCTGAAAGATGGGTCGCCAATCTGCCAGTGGGTACAGTTGCTCATACTCACCTGCAGAAGCATGCCAGACCCCAGGTCTGTATATGTCCTGAGTGAACGCGGACCCCGACTTGCCAGCAGTGGTCCCCTGAGCCCTCTGGGCGACCTCAGCGGCCTCTTTCTTGAGAGCCTTCAGGAGAAAGGCGTCCACAACGATCAGGTTGCGAGTTGGGACGGTGGTGGGGATGGTCTTCAACTCTGGCTCAAGCTCATTGAAATGGTGATCCAGGCCCGCTCGCTCCATGTGATCTTCCTGCAGTAGGGCAATATATAGTCAATACAGGGCCTAGAATTTTCTGTACAGGGGGTCTGGTATGGAGACCCTGCATACCATGAATACTAGTTGTATATATATAGGGGCACCCCCAGTTGATGGTGGCTGAACCACTCTTGAACTGCTACCACCACCATCCTCTTTTGGAAGCCATAACACCTCAAGCTCAAATTCAAACATGTCTGTGAGTGCATCATACTACTGCCATTGCTCTGACATGCCATATGCTCAATGACATCTGCAGAGCCCCATCAGTGAAGTGATTTTTTTCTCTTCTTTTGTGTACTGTCGTCGACATTACAACATGGCACTCACTTTCTTTCCCCCCTAAACCTTCAACACCATTGAGGAGTCCCAGCCCAATGAGGTAGAGGACAAGGGAAGCCCAATGGTGAGTTCATTTTTCATTTTTTGTGTATTGTCACTGACACAAAAAAATTGACAGTCAATGTCTGATCAAGAAGCACAGGAAGTTGCTGCAATTGAAGAAAGTTACGAAGTTGTATGTGTACTGCTTGCCAGAGTGACAATCTGACTGATGGGCTTTGCTTGTGCATATAGTATAAAGAGGTAGGATAAACAACAAATTAATGCACATGGGTGGTCACTGACATTTACTAGATCGCCAGCAGCTTTGGGGAACTTGAAGTCACTCCCTTGTATGCTGACTCGCAGGCTGATGACACTTATGGTGAACTGCCTGCCAATCAGGCTAGCCTCACAGCCGTAAAGGAGGCAGAATTGTCAGACTCTGAGTCTGAGTCTGTTCATCAGGCCAGTTAATTATAAATATTGTGTAATGTCGTCGACAGTATCCTAAAGTGTTTTGGATGATTGCAGGCCACACGCATCAAGATTATGAAGGCCAGGAAAGAAGGAAAGATGGTAAGCATGAGCATGGCATTGTTTATAATGTTCAGCCAATGCTAATGTATATTCTGCAGCGTGCTGCCAGTGTCCCAAGTGATGAAGTGAGTATATAAATCCCTCCCACTGAAGTGCACAAGATGCTCAAATATTGCACGCACAGGAGAGTGAGGCACAGATGACTGATGATGAAGAGGAGAGCAGCACAGAAGAGAGCAGCGCAGAGGAGAGTGAGGCGCAGATGACTGATGAAGAGGGGAACAACGCCAACGAGAGCAGTGAGGAGGAGGAGGAGGAGGAGAACATGAGTGACTCCAGTGAAGATGTTGCACTGATGAGCAAGGTAAAGAAATCTGCTTCAGTGGTGAGTGGCTGACAAATTTTGTACGTCTGCTATACTGGGGTTGACTTATAACTTTCAATTGCTACAGAAGGTCAACAAGAAGGTGCAGAAGATCCTTGTGAGTCTCCTGATTGGTTTTCTGTATTGTCGGCGACAGTACAGAATTTGATATTTTTTTGTCAGGTGCCCAAGCCAGAAGAGGCAGACATGCGAAGCCGTTACACTACTTTCCAGATGGTGTACAGGCTGCTGAAGGACACCACCATTGGCTACTTCACTGTGACTGTCGCTCCCATGTCAAAGAGTGACAACATCAGACTTGATCCTCATGCTGGCGGTCCCACTCTGGCTCACAACACTGTCAACCTTCGCACACTCGACGAGGGCCATGTTGGGCGTATTCTCACCAGTATGAAGAGGCAGTTTGAGGGGCTGCTCGACGAGAATGCACCCATTCTTGCAGTTGAACGTGAATGGCTTTCAATTCCAACTGTGAGTAATCAATAAATTATCAGTCATTGCATCTCCTGACCTGGCAACAAAACTTTCTATTCCAGGATCAAAGCGAGGACAGCGGATCGGAGGAATTCACTCTTTATCCTGGCACCGTCTGGACCCCACAAGCACAGGGCAAATTTGCCTCTATGCTGAATGGTTCCCACCGCTTTGAGGCATCCCTCTGCCTCACGCTGCCAGACACAAAGGCCTTGGAACAGGCACAACTTGCACTGAAGACCGTGCCAGAGGCATCAGAGCAACATGCTCTCGTGTCCCAGCGCATCAGAGATCTTGAGGACATCATCCGGACCAAGACAACCTGGACAGTACGGCTCTACGACAAGGGTCAGTCAATCTTTGTTATACCTGAGACGCCACAGCTTCTGATAGTTGCATACAGCCATGATCGAGGCTTCGCAGTACCACGAGCAGATGCTCTTCATCCTCGCCCAGAACCGGGACACCGCGAAGATGCCAGATGATGCTGAGTCGCAGCTCAACATGTCTCTCCGTCTTCTGAGTGGCAAGCCAATGGACACCTGGGATGCTATCATCCCAGCAGTGCTGGGCAAGCAAAAGTCCAGTACAATCACTCGGCTCTTGCGGTGGCGCGAGCTGTCGAGAATGCTGGTTGATTTGACTGAGCTTGGGCTGTTCTATAACCCAAAGAACATGCCTGCGAAAGTCCTAGACATGATGTACCGTGTGAACGGTGACGTGAGTCAACTCATCTGCATTGTGTATCTGTACTAACACCCATTCTCAGTGTATTATTCCAATCGTGTGTGGTCTTACACTACGCTTCAAGTTCTTGCTGCGCTGCGATGGGTCTCCTCTTCCGGATTGCAAGGCATGGATTGCACAGCACCCCAAGGTTTTTGAAACAGATCCTCATGCGTATGCCTGGCGAGAGATGCCAGGGAGCTGAGGGAAGTCTGGGTTGCTGGTGTTGGCACTGGTAACGTGGAAACAACACGTCTATCAGACAATTGCTCACAGCAATGGACGCTGCCTTCCACGACCACCTTGAGCCGTACATCGACTCGTTCTTCAACTCAGACGCTGCCACCACTCAAAACAGCGATCAGTGCGACATCTGGACCGGGGCAATGAAGCTTTACTGAGTAGAAATCCGCAACACCATCACCACCGAGTTCACTGACTCTGATGGCCACTGTGACCCCGCTCTGGCTCGCATCTTGAACCGACTTGACTGGCTCAGCGCCGGTGTTGACGCCTCTAACAAGGCTCTCCCGTCATTTGCCACCGAGTACCCTCTTGTCTCGTCCCTACTCCTGGCATCTCTGCCGAGGGTGTTGAACAAAGTTGAGCCTGCCCTTGCTGCTGTGAGTGCTTTTCCATTGCCTGTCATTATGCATTGTCATTGACAATACACAAAAAATCCCCATATCTATCTAGTTTGCAACCACCATAGAGCCACTTGCACTGTTTGGTTCACGAGGTTGCGGGGAAACCGTGTATGGATGTCAGGATGGGGGCTGTGGTGCTGTGTATTGGGACCTTCAGCAGTGCAGTTCGGTAGCGGGCAGCTCGGCTGAAGGAGCGGTCGATGGAGGGGGATGGGTGCATGCGATCGGGAGGTCGTGCGGGTGCGGTCCTACATTGAGAGCCGTATTGGTGGAGCGGACAAGAGAGAGGCTGTTGATGGCTTGTTCAGCACGGTATGTCACTTCTACATGCTTTCATGGTAGTTCCACACTGATGCACATGATAGATAATGTGACATGTCCTTGAGCATCAAAATGTTGCTCTGTCAGCAATGACGGTGTACCTGAAAGGTCTACCGGGCATTGGGCTCAACCCCTCGCGCCCCCACATTGGTGACACCATGTCTGTCTACATCAAGGCGTGGTACACAGCTCTTGGCAACATCTTGACAAGATATATATCTCTTCAATGTCTTGAGGTTTTGGGTGGTTTTCTCTGATGCACCAGCTGCTCCCGTATCCTGACAAGATTTCTGAGTGCATGGACAAGGCTTAGCATATCTGGCATTTGTGTGTTGTTCTGAACATTTGCATCCACACGGGCCGGCAACCTTGTCTGTAGCTGTCCCCCTGGACTGGACTGCAGACGTGTGAGGAACAAAGTGTTCTCAGTGGGCAGGATGTGGTCGGGATACTGAGCGAGGTAGCTTGGGTTTCTACAGACATCCACTGAGTGAGTGGGCAAGCACTGTTCAGCACGTCTGGAACCAGGCTCATCAGCATAAGAGGACATGGGCACCGAGACTTGGGGACACACTGCCGCCGTTGACATTGAATTCAATGAATCTACACCATTCCCTGGTTCTGGGAAGTACAAATGGGCAGCGAGAGAGGCCTGGGACCAAAGGGTCCATGGAGGGAGGTGTTGCCATTGTTTCCAACACACCCATCTCGAGGGCAAGGCCCAAGTGATAAAATGGCATCATGCTTGCCAGTGTACATGGTGGGATATTTTACCCAGGTCACAATACATGCTAGTGAGTCTAAACTGCTTATTCTATTATCCAAACACTTCAGATTTCACAACTGTTGGCCATATGTCAATATTCACATATCCCTATAGGGTCAATGATATTTGCTGTTGAAGAAATATGCACATTGTGGTTTCCTTAGTATACTTGAAATATAGGAAGTCATATACATATGAGGGTGCACTTTCAAGTAGTGCTGTAACTGTAGTAGGTTTCATACAGTTTCCTCTCTGGTCACAGAGGTTAGGACATCCTTGGTGAGCCACTTGTTTCCATGTTCCAGTAAGTTTCCAAATGCCTGTACTGAGAAGCCTTCTGCTGATGCAAGCACAATACCAGGTGGGCTTGTGTGACGGTCAGACATGCTTGGCACAACATGTCATGAGTCACAATGATCACAGCTGAGCTGGGGTAACAAAGTTCCCAAAAACAGGTGATAAGGGCTGTAACGAGACATTAGAATGGGACTGATGGTCTAGCAGCTAAGAGGGTTCAACTCCCATCTAGTTCCATCTTCATCAATTGTTACAGCTTGCTATTGGTCATTGCTGATGTCATGCCTCAGACAGCTGCCTGGACAGTGTTACTTTGAATGATCTTCCCTATAAGGATGGGACCTAGTCCTAATTAATGGTCCGCCAACACATTATCTGACGTGGTTGACTGGGCTCGATCACGGAATTCCTCGCACCGCTGACGACCTTACCGACCACTATCTTGGGAACCAGTCCATGCTGCCATTCAGAGTAGCCATGTCTCTTACGAGTGCGCTCTTCAGGCTTCTTTCGTATTTTTTTTTTTCATGAATTGCAATAGCCAATGTCGTATCATAATGTACAAGACTAGAGTAGATTGCTGCCGAACAGCATCATACATATATCATTACAATGAGCAGTTTCAATTGCTGTCACTAAAGTAGTACTTCAATGTCACACCTCTCACCTAATTTTTGCCAATGACACCAGCAGATGGGAGGGCACCGTCCTTATATGTTTTCTCATCCAAGCTCCGTGACGAGGGGGATGTAGGGCTCTGCAAACTAACCCTCCTCGATGGAGGCATACTATCACTTCCGCGGCTTCGCCCGCTTTCCGTCCTGAACCGCGATCCTGCAGCACTTGCAGGAAGGACAGTAGGGGACAGCGGCGATGATGCTTTTGCCCAAGGCATCTTCGAAATCATCCACCCCGGCCATGTCTTCTCTCGTTCCAAACGTTCGCGCCCGTCTCGTCGCCGCTCGAACGCTGCCCGATAACGTTCATAACTGTCGCGAAAGCCTCGCTCGACACGCGATGAGAAAATGAGCTCGCCTCGCGGACTGGACGCAGGCGGAATGGGTGGGATGGGCACGGAGGAGCTACGTTTCGTCCGGCTAGCAGTAGGGGAAGGCGAGCGGTGGCGGAGCGGAGCGGCAGGAGCGACCGATGACGGTGTTGGTCGAGGGAAGAGTAGAGTGAACGGATTGAGGAAAGCGGGTAGTTTAGAACGTAGGGAGGCTGGCGCACGTTCAGGTACATGTTGAAGTTTCTGAGCGCACGATTCGCATGCGGCACGTACCTTCCGGCCGAGGCATAATTTCAAAGCTGAGCATTCGCATAGAAGGGGCAAGGACAAACATACCGATTGGCATAGCCGATTTTCTCGCTGTACATCCCGGAGGCGAAGAAGAGGACCAGCGTCGTCACGCTGACAAACAACAGACCTGTCGTGAAGTATGGGTGGATCCGAACGTCTGCAGCCTCCGCGTAGAGTTCCGGCAGCGCCGCGCGGAGGAGCAACGTGTAAGGGATCGACAAGAGGTGGGATTGCAACAGCACCTCGCTCGAGAGGAATGCGATGATGACGAGTAGCTGGACGAGGAAGACTAGATACGCAGACATGTTACAACTGTCGACGTAGATGATGACGGACACGCACGTTGGTAGCGATGTTTCCTGCGATTCAGGGATGCTGCATTGGTCTTGAGGCGTTCTTCGAAGAGCAGCAGATCACGGTAGGTCGCCGCATCGTACGCAGGCTGGAAGCCGCGGCCGCTGGTCTTTGACGAGGAGCGAGGGGCCATGGCTGTAGGCGTTGCGTAATGACAGCGATGAGCGAGGAATGCAGCACGATGTCTACGAAGAAGAACAAGCTTGCGGCAGCGGATGGTGGTCGCTGCTCACGAGTGGTTGGGCGCTGTTGGACGCTCCCGGGCCCGAGTCCCACACATAAATAATGAAGTTCAGGCTTCTTACACATCGAACGGCCCGACGATGGGGCACATGTAATTAGCTATTTCGTTATACTGATGTTTGCGCTGTGTGCGGCTCTGTTGTCTACTGCGCCGAGAACGCGCGAGTATGTTGCGGCAGACTACGTCGTCGTGCTCATCTGGCGCAGACTGGATGATGCGACATAACCACTGGATGACAACGGAATAGGATGGTACAGTGCTCTAGATACGCCTCGAGTTCTCCTCCAAATTGGACCATTGTATAACAACAGAACAGAATAATCCATGACCAAGAATACCGTACAAATGGGGTGAACCAGAACGTACGTCGGTATGGAGAGCTCAAGTCCCGTCGCCTCGTCTGAGACGATTGAACTTGGGCAGCATCTCTTTGAGATAGTCAGCGTGCTTTCTCCTGAGATCGGCCTCCTGCACCTTGCCGCGCCCGCTCCATATCCGTCGCTCTGCGGTAGGCCCGTATATGACGGTATACTCGTCGAGGATCTCGTCTTCGGTCGGGACGACGAGGCACGCGGCACCGACGACGCAGTAGGAGGAGATGCGGACGGTGTGGTGCACTCTCGCGCGGGCAGAGATGGTATTGAAGTTGCCGATGCTGGGACATTCGACACCTATGCATTGTAAGAGTCAGCCGGCAAGGAAGGGGAACGGGCGACTCACGGCAGCCAATCTCGAAGAGATTGTCATCGCCTATCCGCATGACTTCTTTCCGACTGCAAGGAGGGTGAGTGGGAGGTGGACAGAGCAGCGCGAGGACTTGCCGGTTGACGAGGATGACACCCTCCTCGACGATGCAGCCGGCGCCGATGACGATGGGGCCGGCGATGGCAAAGATGGTTGCCTTTGGATGGACGATGGTGCCGGCACCGACGGTGATGTCGCCCTTGAGCTCGACGTCCTGGCAGACGACGGCCTTTGAGTGGATGGTGAACTTGTCGCGGCTGGAAGCTCAGTGGTCAGGGACGGGGACGGGCTGCGCACAAACGAGCGGATGGCACATTGGGGGCATGGGGGCGACCGGGGCGGCGACGAGGACGAGGACGAGGACGAGGACGGCGGAGAGGGATGAGTGAGAAGGCGGAGACGCGGGCGGCTGTGAGAGGCTGCAGCCCTTGTCCCGATACCCCTTCCTCCTTCCTGCCCTCGACCCTCCCGCGGTTGCGCTCGCGGGCTCGTCTTCGGTTTCGTCTCTTCCTGCGCTCGCCTCCTCTCCCCTTCGCTGTCTGCCATGCCGCCGCCGTCCGCCGCCGCGCCCCCCGCCCTCCAGGAAGCCACGCGCCATGCCACCGGCACCTGGCAAGACGACCTGAAGGCTCTCTTCGACCACGCCAAAGACCGCTTTCCCGATGTCGTTTGGGAGCTCTTAAACGAGCATGACAGCAATGCCAAGGGTGCAGAGGAGGTCTGGGGTCACAAAGGTAAGCACGATCGCGACCCGCCCTGTGCTTGTCGTGCTGCCCCGCCGTCCGGGAGTGCGTGGGCACGTCTTTGCAGCTGCTATCTCGAGTCCACTTGCCCCTCTCCTTCTTCCTGTAGAGTTTGCTACGCTGACTGCCACATCGCTTGCCCGACATGGCGCCTGGCTCAGCCCATCCTCCATCCACTCCCGGTGGTCCGCCCTTGACTCGTACTGCGGTCGACTAATTCTTTGTCATTGCAGCCGTTGTCTATGCACGCGCACCTCCGAGCTTCCAAGCGCGTTATTTCTCCTTCAAGCCCGCTCCTCTGCCCGCCTCCCCTCTTCCGTATTCTTCGTCGCCCACAGGCACTCTTCCCGCACAGTCTGCGCTCTCCCTCACGCTCGGTGTCGATTTCACCTCAGTCTCTCGCTCCCCTTCTCCCTTCCGGGCACCCTCCCCTGCTCCGTCGGCCAGCACTGGTGCTGTGCTTCGTATCCCGATCGCTATCAACCCAATACTCTTCTGTAATGAACTCGAGTATCTCTACACCGGCAAAGGCTTTGGTGAAGCGTTCGAGTTCCTCTTCGACTCTACCGCGTCTCCAGAGGAAGGCAACGACGAGGATGCACGTATAGACAAGCTCCGCAAGGACCTTGTCTTCATGTGGCGCTCACGCTTGTACTCGGACATCCGCATCTCGCTGACGGGAATCTTCTCGTCGACGAACCACGAACCGACCACCGCCATATTCTCATCCCATCGCTTCATGCTGGTCTCTCGCTCTGCCTACTTTCGCACTCAACTTTTGGATTGGGCGGACTCATTGAAAGCGTCTGGTGAACCGTTTACGGTGACTCTGCCCTCTCCTCCCTTTACTCCCGCTTCGCTACATTTCACCCTAGGCTTTATCTATACCGGAACTCTCGCCTTCTCGAACCGCACCTTCGATCTCGACACCTCTTTCCACATCATGCGCTCTGCCTCCTACCTCTCTATTGACACGCTATATGACGAAATACAGGCACGCATCGTCCAGGAGATGATGCACGGACTCTTCCATGCTTTCCTCGAGTTTTCCGAGTACGAGGCTGCGACGGGAGGAAAATGGGGCTCAGGCGGATGTCGCTGCCGACAGTGTGCGCGGCGGGCTCCACGGGTGCTCGAGTTCGCGCTCTCCGACGATGTTAAGAACCCTCACCTAGAGCGGGGCGCGAGGCGCGCTCTCGTTGGACTGTTCGGAGAAGGCTGGTGCACCTCGGAGTTCGCCAACCTACCACAGAAGACTCGCGATGCCATCGTCAAGGGTCTGGCGAAGCGGACCACACCTATGAACATCTTCCCTCTTCTGTTCGCCTCGCACGCAGCCCTTGCAAGACTGGGTACCATCATTGACAATTGGTCCGATACCATCAAGGATATGGTCCTGGCGGGACGCAAGACGATCGACGAGGTCATGTGCTCGCAAGCGGACCAGTGCTTCGAGCAGCCGGAATGGCTCGATATCATGGAGTCTGACGGCGTACGGTTCGAAGACGGGGAGAGAGTAGAGTGGGCGATGGAGTCTATTCGGAGAGGACTGAACGAGAAGAATGCTGCGGCTCTCTATCAGGTATGTGCAAGCGGCTTGTGTTCTCGCTGATACACTCATCACACCTTCAGACCCTCGTTTCTGCGGTACTTCTGCGTCCGCACCCGACTGAGCCAGACCAGGCAATGCTGTCTGCGACCTCGCACGTTCGTGTGTCTGTAGAGCAAGCTCGCATGGACATCCTAAGATGGCTTCGAAGACGGTACCTGAACGTGAAGCAAGAAGGTGGCTTCGACTGTCTCGAGCCTTGGGCTGCGAAGGAGATTGCGTCTGGTATGTTCTGCTCTCTGCGCGTTGAGTGTGTTGACCTCACCAGCGATTCGCAGAACTAGAACTCTCTGTAGACGATATGTTCAGTCCCGTATCGCCGTCTGCGGCACCAAGGGGCACGGGTAGAGTTGGTCCTCGTGTCAGTGCTGCAAAGGCCGAAGACGAAACTGGCAGCATGCATTCGTTGCGCACTGGGATCCCCAAATACTCCACGACATCGAGAGGTACGGACACCGTCAAATCCTCGAACGCATCCACCAGATCCGTCGCAAGAAGTACACTCTCCGTAACCTCAAAAACGAGCACTGTCACAACCACACGACGTCTAGCATTGTCGACGGGTCGTCCGGACTCAAAGCTGACGCCTAGCCATGTCACAAGCCCGTCTTCTGTGCGCTCTGGCCTGACATCTAATGGGCCGGCGTCGTCTCACGCCTCCGGCCGCACCAGTCTGTCCCCGGTGCCTGGCCGCCGCAACGTATCGGGCAGCTTGTCACCCGGAGATCGTGGATCCAGGCTGCGTTCGAGTGTTGCCTCAGTCAAGTCACAGACATCAACAATTCGCAAACGCTCCCCCGCCAGACCGTCGTCTCTCAGGCCGTCGTCTGCTCTCTCAGGCCGGCCACCCTCGACCATGTCCAACACGACGAGCGATGTATCGACTGCGTTCGAGACCGCGAAAACCGACATCACCCCGGTCACCGCGCGCAGTCGCCGTGGTTCGACGGCCTCGTCCGTATCTAATATGAGTGTGAAAACGACTGGCACCTCCCGGACGACGGCAACCTCGACGTCGAGGTTACCGCGGTCGCGCGCTCCATCAACGGCGTCGAAGCCTACTACACCACTGAGGAAGCGACCAGCACCCTCCCCTGTAGACTCCAAGGCAAGCCCCGCGACGAAGCGAACGGCATCCTCGATGTCCGTCCGCTCGACTGCGTCTACGTCCCCGACCGCACCTAGACGAGTTATTTCGAGGCAAGCATCGGGTGCTCCCTCTGTGCGTTCTGTGTCGACCACCTCTAGGGAGGTCTCCGGGACGGTCAAAGGGAAGGGCAGACCGAGCGTGATTGTTACGCACGGGAAGCAGGCGAGTGTCGTCTCCACGAGCAGTGCTGCTACTCTGAAACGGAAGAGTTCAACGGAAACGATCAAGGAAGCGCCGGCGCCGCAACTACCTCGTGGCGCTACACTGGACATCGGCATTCCGTGCATCATCTCGTCAAAGAAAGCCCGTTTCCGTGCCTTTGCGCGCTACATTGGCGAGGTGGAGGGCGAGCTAGGGCCGTGGGTTGGAGTAGAGGTGCCGATGAACGACACATGGCCAGGCGAGAAGCTCGAGGGTCGTGCATGGCATGATGGCACATGGGGTGGCATTCGATATTTCGACATCGGCTCTTCGAGCGATTGGGACTACGATGATGATCGTGCGGCAAGACGTCGGAAGTTCGACTGGGCCAGTGGAGGTAAAGGAACACTAAAGCGAGAAGGAGATCAGCTGAGCATTGACCGGGCGAAGAGAATGCGGAGTGTATCGCCCGCAGTGTCTGATGTCTCGAACTCCGAATCGAGAGGACTGTTCGTCAGGCCGCAACAGGTTCTCTACGTCGTCGACGCTGTTGGTTCGGATCTTTGACGGAGATCGACGTGGGCAGCGGGGATACCCTGTAGTGTACCTATGCGAACATACGAATATCTGACGAGGCTACTGCGTACTTTACTCCGCTTATTATTCCGGGATCATACCTTGTACAGTTCCCAATTGCTTTCGTACCTGCGTGATCAGGCTTTGCACTGTATCGACACTCTTTTATATAATCATCACTTCTGCTTTCGCATCTGCTACTGCGTTACCATAATATAACTAGTACGTTGATTGCGTGCAACACTGGCTCGTCGTTTGACGGTTGCTACAAATATCATGATGACCTTAGACGACTTCTTCGATACCTGTGTTCGTATTTGCACACACCCCTTGAGAACCCATAAAACCACGACTTAACCTCAGATATCCTCACGAGGTGTTACCTCCAAGGATCGAATAAGATCTTGCCGCACTTTCCCTTGTCAAAGAGCTCATAACTCTCCGCAGCCTCGTCAAAAGAAACAACCTTCTCAATAAGGCTAGCATCCTCCCCGATACCCCCAAATACATCCTGTCTCTTGACTAGCACCTCCAGTGCAAGCGGGAACATGGCGCGGACAGGACAGCGCCCGAAGTCAAGCGATACGTTCTTGTTGTAAACATCTCGGCCAGTGAAAGGTAGTGGAGGTTCTTGATGGACGCCGACCGAGCTGATGATGCCGAACGGGCGAACCAGACTGTATGCCAACTCAAGCGCGCTGGTATTCCCGACAATCTAGCCAATGCTGAGCGGATGCGAGTGAGCGGGAGCAGATGAAAACACTCACCTCCAAGACGGCATTGCAGCCCGCGCCTCCGGTCCATAGCTTGGCAAGTTGCTTAGCTTCGTCGATGGCAGCTACCACGAACGCGCCCGACTGTTTCTCCTGACGGCTTATCGTTGCATAGACCGCTTCCATCTTCTTGCGCCGCGACTCGTTGGGGTCGACTGCTAAAACTCGATAATCCAGCCCCTTCTCGGTTCGTACGTTCTCCATCATATGTAGCAAGCTGACCGCAGCGCACTAGCGATCGTGCAGTATTTCGTCAGCCCAGTTGTACATCGCAGATATTCGGTGAGTGCGTACCACCCCAACCGGTCCAAGGCCCACGATCGCGATGGTCAACGTCCGGTCTGCGGCCTCCAGCGGCTTCATCACTCCAGCGCCCGCGAGAGCCAACTCGCCACTTGGCACGAACGAGCTCGACGGGTATGCTAAACCGGTAAGCATCGGTGATAGCTTGGGGTGCTGTAATGTTTGCAAGGCAGCGAAGACACCCGTCGGCAGGATATCCGCCAGCAGAAGGAGCGAGCTGTCTGCGACCTCGAGGACACGGGCATTTGAAGTTGCCAAAGCGGTGAGGCTGAACAGCGTGCCGCCGGCTTTGGGGATTCGCGCGTACTGCGCCTGCCCGCCCGGCAGGATGGGGATGCCGAAGAGCGTCGAATGGATGCAGCGGCAAGTGAAGCCTACCCTGCAGAAACTATCTCGACGGTGAGCCCCTGACATCGGGCATGATGAATGAACGGTCCTTACTGGCATTCGCCGCACGACACGGTGAACGGCGATACAACTTTGTCGCCAATCTTCAAAGTGGAGTACAGTTCCGGCCTTCCCGTGGCTCCTGGATAGAAGCTCGATCCCAAAGCGACGACCTCGCCAACAAGCTCATGCCCGCAAATAAGCCTGACGAAGTGAGTTGCAGCGTATTCATCGACACCTTTGTGAAAGCTCGACGTACTCGGCATCGACGTCTTCATGGCCCCTATAAATGTGCAGATCACTTCCGCATAGTCCGGCCAACTTCAATGAACGGATCAGAAGCTCGCTATGTATCCGAGGTAAGGACAGATACCTTGATCTTGACAATCGCATCATCCGGGTCAACGATCCTGTTCGCATCACGAAGACATGAGTACTGGTACGCATCGAGATGGAAACGGCCTTACTCTGGAATAGGGACAGTCTCTACCCGAATGTCATACCCCGGAGGATACCACTTCACGGCGCGCTGCGTCCCTTGTGGATGGTTGCTCATAACCGAATCTGAGGAGTCTTGTCGAAGTCAGAGCAAGCTGGAATGGCGTGCGAGAGGAGGAGCGCGGTAGTCCTTTATTTAAGCTTCAAGTTAGGCACCCCCGGGCCATGACTCCCCATGATCGCAGATTGGGAAATCGGAGATACGGGTCCTATTGAACGATCCCTGAACGATTCACCCACGGGATGGCGGATAACGCGCGGTAGCACCGATTGAAGTGATTCCGTACAAAGACGCTACGAAGCAGCCGGCATTGACAGCCACGCTCGGCCTCGTGCGAGCCACGGTGCGTGACATGCTGCACGCATATGAGCGCAATACCAGTACACAGTGGGCTAATAACAGGATGCTCGCGTGAAATAACCGCTTCACAAGGAGGCTTCAACGACAACAACTGAAAACACCGGCCGAGCGAACATACACCAAGCTATGCACGTTGCTACCCGCCAGATATTATGCCCAACTCAAGACGAAATGACCGCGGAGTATGCGCTCGTCGTGAGCGTTACGTCGCTGCCGCTAGTAGCCTCCGAGCCGGCATCGAACGTGGTGAGGTACTGGGTGCTCGGGAGGGACTGCGCCGAGGTGAGGTACTGGAGGAAGAGGTTGACGTCGCCCGCGAAGCTCGCGACGGTGCTCGACGGGAGGAAAGAGTACACGTAATTGTAGCCGTTGGAGCCGTAGTAGAGGTCCCTGGGGCTGCGCGTGAGGCCGGGTATCACAGAGTGGGATTGGGGGGTACGTACCAGGTGTGTCCGGCGAGGGAGAGCCCGGTCTCGATGGGCACGGCGTTGCCGGAGGAGTCGTAGTTGTAGGAGATCGGGCCGGAGCTGTAGTTGGCGAGCCAGACCATGATCTCCCAGTAGTTCTCGGAGGAGCCGCCGGAGGTCGCGCTTGGGAGGGTGAGCTCGTGTACGAGTGCATGAGTAGACTGTCTACGCACGAAGTGAAGAGGTCGTAGGCGACGTCCGACACGATGGTGCCCGAACCGGACTGGCTCCACGACCAGGAAGACTGCGCGGGCAGTCAGCCTATCGGTAAGACTACATCACGGACGCACGGACGTCGATGGAGCTGATGGCGCTCAACTGGACGTTGATGCCGTCGGTGAGCTCGATGTTAGTGAACGTCTTGACGCCGCTGCCGCCGGACCAGGACCACTCGCTCTCCCAGGCGATGGTGTTCCCGCTGAGGCTGGCGAGGTTGGCGCAGTCAGAGCCCGTCGCGTTCGAGATGCCCCATTGGTCGAGGTTGAGGATGTACGGGCCGGCGGTGACGGTGTCCCATTGGCCGCAGTAGGAGGTCGTGTCGAGCAGTGCGGCGCGCGGCGTAGGCGCGGGAAGGGCGAGTGCGGGGCCAAGGAAAGGGAGGAGAACGAGTGCAAGGGGAGGCATGGTGAACGACTTACGACTCAGGTGAGCGAAGACTACGCGGGCTCCGGGGGAGGAGAGTAGTAGTTATGGAGAGTCGAGACACTGTACCCGCGTGCACGAGCATATGGAAGTGCTCGTGGGGAGTGCTTGTGTACCGGCGGCCCGCGTGAAGTCTGTAGAGGAACGTCGTGGCTCACGACCATCGCTTGGGAGCGTCCTAGCTAGGGTCCCACGGTTACACCAAGAGTGGCATGGGCTTGGATGCTCAGCGAGAACGTCGGGAGGGCAGACCGTCAGAGACTCGACCATAGACTCAGAGAAGCGAGGACGAATGTCGGGGATGCATGTTGAAGGAACATACTGGCTTGCTACTGATGACGGTGGAGAGTCGCGCGGATGGTTGTCGCTTTGAGCACCGGGCCGGACGGGTTGGCCGCATGAGTACCAGCAATAGACTCGTGGGTAGAGCGATGTCCGTGGCCAGAGTAGATGGTCACGAACACAGTCCTCTGACTTGAGTTGAGGATTGAGTTGAGGTGACGCTTGGCGAACGCCACCAAGGGCATCGATCGGCCAAGGATGCCATGCTGCGGTCCAAGATCTGAGGGCGGCTCAGCGGCAGCCACGCAGTTGCAGTGCGCAGGAGTCGAGGACAACTTGGCGAGTGGACAAGAGCACGTATGGTGCAGCGTGATTGTTCTCAAAGCTACGATGGCTCACCAACATACTCTGAGGCCTGAGATCTTGGCGGCCGCGTCGGTCCAAATGCTAGGTGTACGAGGATACGTTTGGCGTGAAGTGGAATGGCGCTGCGCATACCAGCGAGACCAGCGAGGCGCCAGGAAGCGCAGGGCTGGGGACAGTCGACCTAAAACAAGATGGAGAGCCTGAAGCAGGACAGGCGATGGACTCGAGTGCACTGCCTGATGTGCTGATGGGCTGCGGATGGGATCTCGGACAGGGCGCAGTGAGGGAGCCGGCCGTCGAGGCTGCGTGACATGCTGCTGTTCCGCAGATCCTCCTTCTGCCACATGACGCACGTGACCCTCGCAGGCAGGCGACGGGGAGACAGCGAGCGCAGGCAGAAGGACGACGAGCAGAGGCAGATGCACGACGGCGAGCGTGGCGGGGACGGTGGCGGGGAGAGGAGGGTTAGGCGGGACGGAACCCTAACCAGTGCGCCGGGGCGGGACGCTCGGTAGGCGCCGGCTGGCTGGTATTCTTAGCGGGCGCGTGGGGAGTCCGTCCGAGTTGTGCTCTCCCCGTCGTCTGTGCTGCTGCCTGCGATGGCGGCGCCTCCTGTCCCCCGCGGCCCTTCAGCCACTACGACGACTACCGCACAGACCCCCGCCCCACCCGCCCCCATCCCGCCTCTCCCGCCAGACTTTGACCCCGCAGAGGCCTCAGGCCCGCACTTTGAGGACCCCTCGTCGCCCCGCGCCCTCACAAGCTGCAGCCCGATCTGCCAGCCAACGTGCGTCCCGTCTTCCTCTTCTCTCTTCTTTCTCTCTCCATTCCAATCCCTTCGCTTGCGAAGCCCGCACGCCGTCGGCTCTCCGCCCACTCGCACCGCACTGCTCCCTGTCCCTTCTCCCATCGTCCCCGCGATAGTGCAGCCCACCCCCGTCGCGCGATCCCAGGTGCGATTCGCCTACCGGTGCTCCCATACCGCCATCGCAGCCACTCTGTGGCGCCCGTCCGTCGTGAGCGGTGCACATCCGTGATCTACACGCACTGCTCGCTTTACTTCTCCTGTTCGCCGGTGTCATGTCCGCTAAGCAGCTGTTCGTCCGCTGCGCAACCGTGACATGTCAGTCTCTCAATGTCACCGTGCGCCTACCGACCCATCCGCGCCCATCGGCGATACGTCGACGCCCTGATCGGTCTGACTTCCTCCTTACAACTCGTCTCTTCTTCGAGCATACCTCTAGTTACCGCCCGATGTCCCCAGTGCGGCGGTCTGTCACGCGCTGCCGCCATCCTCTGTTGTTCATCTGCACTGAGCTCCGCCACTGACGCGCGCACGGTCCTCTGCCAACCTTGAGACTGCGTGTGCTATGGCCGTGTCCTTGGTGACAGAGCACCCCCGACGTGCACCTGGCATGTCCATATCCCATATATTCCGTCGTCGTGGCCCCGCATAGCCTTGTCAACCTCTTTCTGCTTCCCGAAGTCTGATCTCGACCCGTAGATGGCACGCACGCTCGACGAACAATTCGCACATACACCTCCCCCTCCAACTACCACCGCGGTCGCTCTCCGGCACCCTACAACCCTGCCCCCGGCTTCATCATGCCCGCTCAGAGTCGCTCCCACAGCCGCGGTCCCAGCCCCCACCAACACCCACAAGGCGAATGGAGTCCGTGGGCGCCGCAGCCCGCCGCGCCGATGCCCCAGGCGCACCAAAATGGACACTATAATCCCGACGTGCTCCCCGCCCAGTTTGCCAACATGACTTTCCAGGAACCCCCACCCACGCAGGCGTACCATCCACCACGGTCGACGTCCGTCTACTCGACCTACGGCCCGCCCGTGCCTGCTCCACAGCCCCCGTCAATACCTCCGCGCCCGCCTCCCTCACGGCTCCCCTGCCGACCATCCCTGCGCTCATCGCGCTGCTGCCCTCGATCCAGCAGCACGGCTTCGATCCCGCCGCCAAGGTCGCCTGGTGCCGCGACGTCCTCTCGCTCGTCACCCGCGCGCAGCAGCTCACGAATTCCGACTACACCGCTGCGGGCGGCGATCCGCCGCAGGGCCCCGCGCGGATCGAGGACGCCGAGCTGCAGCGTCTCGTCGACGTCGCGGTCCCGCTGATCGTGCAGCTGGCGAACGTCCCCGCGGCGCCGAAGCCGCTGTACGTCGCGGAGGCGCTCTACCTCCTCGCGACCCTCGAGAGCAGCGGCGCGTTCCCGCTGCACGTCCCCCCGGACCCGCGCACGAGCTTCCGCCACTGCGAGCAGGCCGCCAAGTCGGGCTTCCACGCGGCGTGGTTCCGCCTCGGCAGGGACTATGAGAACTTCAAGGACGTAGAGCATGCGCGGCAGTGCTTTGAGCGGGGTGTGAAGAGGGGCGTCGAGAGCTGCATATACGTGAGTGTCCGACGGTTCGCAGCGGCTCGTGATGCTGACGCGGAGTAGCGGATGGGCATGGCAAACCTCATGGGCCAGCTGAGCCTACCGCCAAATCCCGAGGCCGCGCTGCCGCTCCTCAACCGCGCTGCGACGCTCGCCTCTGTCGACGTGCCTCAGCCGGCGTACGTCTACGGCCTGCTGCTCCTGAACGAGTTCTCGCACGTCGAGGTCCCGCCGCAGCTCTTCACGCCCTACATCCCGCCGGGGTCCAGCCCGGGCATGGAGGCGCGCAAGCACATCGAGCGCGCGGCGTTCCTCAACTTCGCGCCGGCGCAGTACAAGCTCGGGCACGCGTACGAGTTCGCGCAGGCGCCGTTCCCGTTCGACGCGCTGCTGAGCGTGCAGTACTACTCGCTCGCGAGCCAGCAGGGCGAGGTCGAGGCGGACATGGCGCTCAGTAAGTGGTTCCTCTGCGGCGCCGAGGGCGCGTTCGAGCGCGACGAGGGTCTGGCGTGGACGTTCGCGGAGAAGGCGGCGAGGAAGGGGCTGCCGAGCGCGGAGTTTGCGATGGGGTACTACGCGGAGGTGGGCGTGGGCAGTCCCAAGGACATCGAGGTGGCGAAGAAGTGGTATAGCAGGGTGCGTCGCCTCCTCACGTCGCGGGAAACAAGAGCTGACGCTCCGGCAGGCCGCACAACACGAGAACCCGGACGCGGCTGACCGTCTCCGTGCGCTGTCGCAGCCTGATGCTCGGCGGATCTCGCGCGAACAGCACGAGTCCCTCGCAGATACGACCATCGTCCGCAAGCGCACCCTTGCACGGCAACAGTCGACCGCACGACACGGGCCTTCGGGCGGGCGTCCGCCAGGCCCTGCCGCGCAGGGTGCACAGGTCATCCACAACGTCAGACAGAGCTCGCTTCGCCACGGGGCGCCTCCCAACGGCGGTGCCCTCCCGCCAAGCGCATCCGCGCCGCCGGTGGGCGGCGCGCCAGGGTACGGCGCGCCCGCGCAGTTCCCTGTCAGCGCATCACAGCCGCACATACCCCCGACAGGGTCGCCCGGGCCAGGTGGTCTGCGTCCGTTCGCCAACGCGCCCCGATACAGCCTCGTTGATCCAGGATCGCGCTCGGCGTCGCCTGCAAACTCGAACCGCGCGGGCGTCGGCGCTGGCGGGCTTCCCTCCCGGCCAGCGCCGCAGAGGCAGAACAGCGGGCAGCCGGAGGTGTCGAGTCCGCTCGCGCAGGCGCCGCCCAGGCCCGGTCCACAGACGTTCTCGGAGATGGGTATCTCTACCGGTAAGCTGGAGGAGAAAGACTGCATTATCATGTGAGGCGAGACTCGAATAGGTTTCGCTCGGGAACGCGGATGGACGTATCATAACTCGGAATACGCTCTTCGGACTGTGCTCGTATTTCACTCGGACTTGGAACTCCCTCACCCTTTCGTTTTGTGCGCTTTCGCTTCCGTTTCCGTTGCATATCGCAGGTGGATCTTCGTGGCGTCGACTGTGTAACTTAATTGCCTGTAGTACAATCGTCCTCTCATCGTATGCTGACGTCAACACGGTGCAGCTAATATACAACTACTCATATCAAGGTCTCTTCGTTGGTGTGACACCCGTATGGTAAGCGCGCTGAGCGGTCGTGCGTCGCACGCATCAGTAGGCTACGTCAACGCAAGTGGTGCGATGTCGAAGCAGCGAAATAATATTGCCGTGTTGCGCCTGAATCACAAAGACATTCGTGTCGATGCACATTGTATTGGAACATAGCTACAGTACATGAATATCTAAGATGTCTTCATTTATGGGGATCCAAATCCTCAACCAACTGAGCACGAAGCTCTTCCGATTCGGACGAATGAAATGAACCGTTCAATATTTGCCCCGTTTCCCCTAACCGTCGCCCACGGAAGAAGAGCGACGTAGTGAATAATAGGGCAGCAGTCAAGTCAAATAAAAGATAGAGACCGAAGAGTTGACCTCGTCCAGTAACCAGGAGGCAGGGCCATTGCACCCGCATTCAGTACGCTGCCGTGTCAACAGCCCAATGTTGCCGAATCGGAACCATGGAAACAACGAGACACGAGACATATCCAGACACATGACGAGATCACTCACTGAGACAATACAAGCACGACCGTGCACATGCATACAGGGTCCAAGGACAGTCGTCGAAACGACAATGCAGCGAATATAGCTAGGGTACATGATGCGACAATCACAACCGCCCTTACGCGCCGGCGCGGAGCTGGGCACGGAGGTTCTTCTCGAGGTTGCCCTTCGGGCGGATGTACTGGACGTAAGCACCATCCCTACGGTAATGTGAGCTGCGCAGCGATCAGGAACGGATGGTAAGACGTACTGCAACACACGCTTCTCCTGCTTCAGCTTGACGTAGTCCTCACGGTTGACGTTCGTGAAGCCCCACTTGCGGGAGACGATGATCTTCTGGCGGCCGGGGAACTTGTACCGTGCACGGCGGAGCGCCTCCTGGACGACAGGCGCGTTCTGGTCCTTCGTGCGGACGGAGAGGATGATCTGGCCGATGTTCACACGGGCGACCGTGCCGTACGGCTTGCCCCAGGCACCGCGCATGCCAGTTTGCAGACTTTGGGTTAGGGTGAGCACAGTTACGCGACGTGCAGCACGAGGGGATGCTCACCGATCGGCACCTGCGCAGGACAACATCTTGTTGATGCGGATGACGTGGAAGGGGTGGACACGGACACGGAGATGGAAGGAATCCTTGCCAGACGTCTTGGTGACGTACTTGTTGGCGCAGATACGAGCGGCTTCTAGCGCCTCGCTCGAAAGTTGTTCGTACTCATCGGAGACAAGGTGGCAGCAGTAGGGGAACTCGTCGACGGAGGCACGCTTACGGCCCAGATCGAAAATGCGGATCTATGCGGAGGGAACCTGTGAGAGAGATAGGCCACAGGTGGGTGCTGAGACGAACCTTGGAGTCGGGCACACCACGGTTGTAGCGCGACTTGGGGTACGGCTTGTTCTTGCAGTAGCGGTAGCAGCGAGCGGGACGGCGACCCATCTTATTCTGCACATTGAAGCAAAAATATTAGTGCTCACGTCATCCTAGCTAAACCAACTCCATCCATCATTTGCTGCCCGCATCCACCCCCAAATTGAGATAAAAAGCGATACCACAGGCTGCACAACGACGTCTGGAACAACGCGAGCGACACTCACAGTCTTTCTGGTGGTCGGAGGGGCGGGAAGAGTGAGGGCGGGTCGTCGGAGGGGCCGCCTTTTGAGGCGACTGATGAGAATGACTAACCGTCTCCGCAACCCGCTGAGTAACCCTCGGCATCTGCCGCTCGGCGCTTGCTGACTCCCCGGGACCGTGCACCCGCATTTGGCAACTCCGGGGACCTCTCCCCCCCGAACCCTTCCCCGACGTGCGCCCCTTGACCAACTACTTACATGCCGCCTTGAACCAAGTGTGTATCTCACCGGTGAAGCCTTCTTATCGCAGGGCTAGGCTTGCCTGCGCAACCATCGACTCATCGCTTGTCCAAATAACCAATGGAGAAGCGCGTCCGCACCAGTCATGTACGTCCATGCTCAGTCATCTTCAATGTGCATTGCCCACACGCCATACAGCACCATTCCATCAAGCCAGGAGGCGGCATCAGTCGCCCCGTATCGTCCTTATATCGCATGTCAATTGCATACTGAACGCCGCGCCGTCCTCATGAATAGACCACTGTACAATTTATACGGGGTGCATTGTCAACTCAACGCGTTCCAATTTGTCTCACAAGCCGACAATATATGAATGCACATCTCCAATCCGAGTAAACGTTGTCCTCGGTGCATTTCTGATATTACACCATCTGGCAGCTGGCGATATGAAGGTATTCTGCCGCCTCCTGTGACTACATTGCTGCCTTCCGCGACAGGTTTATGTACCAATCGCATAGCCCGCGGTCTCATTCGCGTTCATTCGACTACACGTGCATGTGTTCTCGTCCGACCGGTCACAAAGCGAGGGACCTGTCCTTCCTCTTCGCGAGCGGCACGACTCCCACCGGTGCATCGTGGCTTTCATTTCGCCCTCCCTTCTGGCCCGGGGCGCTGCCTGTGACTGCCGTCTACCGATGCCCCTCGCTCGTCATTTTCCCAAGTCACGATCTCGGACGCTCTGCTTCATTGAAAAAGCCGTGAGTCGATGTCCCGGTGACGTCTGTCTCCCCATCCGCTCCGGCCTGTTCTGCACCTCTTGACGAGCCACCTGCTCGCCGCCGTCCATGCGCTTCATGTACCCGCAGCGTCCAGGACCCGCCGTCTATCACGTCCGTCGCTCCTCAAATGGTCTGCACGACATGTACTGGTCAGGGGGTTACTACCCTACGGGTACGCGCGTGCACATTATGCTTGAAACTTTGTCTGACCATGCTCGTCGTTCGACGGATTTAGCACCGGAGATGCGCACTGTGTACTCGCAGCCAGCCGTCCAGCCACAAATGATCTACAGTCCCCAACTTCCCCCACAACGGCACTACTTATCACGCATGAACCGCCCTTACTATCCGCCCGTTCTCTGCTGCGATACGTGTTGCGGAGGCATGTGCTGCGATGCCTGCTGCGACGATTTGTGTTGCGATTCATGCTGCGGTTGCGGGTTAGTGATCACTATTCCTTGTAGCCTCACTCTGTCTCACCCGTCGTCAGACCGGACTGCTGTTATTGATTGCGTCCGCGATCGGGCCTTGGAATTTGTGCTCAGTAATGTTTACTCTTCCCTTCCTCTCCATCTTACGGTCTCTGTAGTTACTCGTTTGCACCTCTGGATATACCCGATATTTTCTTGTTCTATGAGCGATCGCCTGCTGTACTGATACTTCCCCTGTTTCCATGGTTTGACTTCACGTATAGACGATAGTATACGGCTTCTCACCGATAGACAACCGTACTGTACAAGTACGCATACGCCCCTTTCCGCAGTGCTTTCCTGAATGTAGGGATTTCTGAAACAATTCCACGACTTTTGGTGTCCTTCGGCCAATCATTATGCCACATGATGATCATGAAGACGATGAATTCTCAGTTTACTAGCAAGATGCAGCGGGTGCCGGTACTAGCGACGCCACAGTCTTATAGGGTACAGCAGTATTCGCGTGTATTAATTGACAGGCATGGTTGTGTATGTGCACGGGTAGCGTGCAGCATACTTTATAAGTATGGGCACTGCGGTACAGCTGCAGTGTGCCGAATCTACCGATCATCCCCGACTCCGACCGGAGGGAGAGAGGAGGGCTTTGTCGACCATAAGTCGTTCGCAGCCGGCGATGCCGCTCCCTCCGTGGGAAACACGTGACTCATAATTCCCATAAGCGGTATCGCAGCAATGCTCGAGTGTCTTACGAGGCAGCTCGAGGCGGTTGGATCCTTCCGTGCTTCTGGCTGCGTCTGGACGCCTGGATCTTTGACCATCGAATAAGTCCTCCCAAAGGTAGGAGGGCCTCTATTATGTTGAGAGCCCTCGCATGTACTGTAGTATGTATTACGGTAAGTAAGTTCGCCGTGTGGCTCAGACTCGTGGAAGCCCGAGACGCCCGGGCGGCGAAGCCGCCGCGGGCGTGAGGGCTTCCAATTGAGTCTCCATACCATTCCGATGGTACTTACAATATTAAAATACACACATAATATACTATGGTGCCGCTGTGGCAGGCTGAGTATAATAGCTGTGTGCCATGCAGGAGTCGGGGATCGGCGCTTGCGCCGCTACGATTGTCAGAGATGTCGAGACTCGACTCGACGCGAAGCCACACTACACGTGACCGAGTCGCGTCTCGGCGTCTAGGTTCGTTTACGCGCATTGCCATCACCTCGGCCACAACGCGTTCCTCCTCTCCTTACCGCGACCCTCTCGACTAAATCTGTGCATGTTACTCTCCAGGTCACTGAACTCGGCTTGCAAGACATGGAGACGCGTAGTTTGCCAGGTGGGTGATTATGACGCGCTTCCACTGGCACGAAGTATTTATGACGGTTCAATTCGCGTCTGCACTGTAGTGCGCGCCCTATACACCATTAACGTCTCTCCGCAGTACATGCTAGCAAGGTGCGACGACCTTTTGGACGTTGAAATTATACGTCCGGCACCACGGGCGGGGGACCCGGACGATGCAGAGGCCATCGTCTTCGGCAGGATCCCGCTGCGACCGTGTCTAGAGGCCATCTGTGACGCAAGGTTCGTCTGTTTATTTCCCACTTGTCTGTTCAGATTCACCTAACTTTCATCTCTCAGCCCGGAGCTGCTTCTCGATCCACGTCGTGACTTCTCCGTATACGTCCGCGACCCACTCGAGTCGTACAGGTTCGCCCTCTTCAGTCTTCCTACTTGTATCGCTCGATTACTTAGAGTTTGGCAGCCAAGGCCACCCTCCAGACTCGCTTGGGGTTGCACTTGGTTTGGGCCTCCTGTCGCGAGGACTACGGGATTCCGGGAGCAAGAAGGTCGTAGGCACTCTCATGAACGATAGCACAGGCGAGGACGCCCTTCAAGTGCTTCTGACAGTCAAGGAGGTACTTAGTGTTTCCTGCTGACTACTGACTGATTCTCAGACTGACCGTTTGCCCAGTGCGCTGCCAAGCCCGAGCAGCCAAAGTGGGCTACTGCCGAGAGGAGGACCCTGCTCGCTACAACTCCCCTCCCAGTGCGAGCATCATCATCGTCCAAGTCTGCGTCCGCTTCATCTAGAAGCAGATCCTCAGACGTGAAGCCATCCAAGAGCACGTCAAACACGACGCGATCGAATGCCGGTACTTCGTCTGTGAAAAGGTCCAGCTCTAGTCGTCTATCTTCTTCTGCGGCACCAGTGCAAGCAGTCGCATCATCTGAGCAGACTACACAGTCTGCCTCTCAGCCGTCTTCTAGCACAGACAACAACGCACTGCAAGCACTGCTCAGCGCGCTATCTGCTACCCCAGGAAAGAATGGCGAGCTACTCGGTGCCATGTCCTCCATCGATGCCGCCACAACAATACCTGCATCAGGGAACGCTGTACAGCCTAACTCTGCCCTGGTAGATGCACTACGCGTGCTTCTGAGTGCACCGCAGGCGCCACCGGGTACTGTCTCTCCTGCCGACCTCACGCGACCCCCCACATCATCCTCTGCTGCCCAGCCGCCAGCGACTCATGCTTCTGCCATGGCAGCTCAGCTCCGATCAACGCTTGGGCACGCTTCTACGCATCCAGGGTACATTCCGCCAGCGACACTCAGATTCCTGACTGCGTCTGGTCCACTTGCCTTGCCTCAGGCGTTCACTTCCTATTTTTCTTCGCGTCTGTCTGCTGCATCTGTAAGTGTTAAGCAACAGCCCCCAGAAGACGACGAAATTGTCTTATTGGACAAGGAGAATGTGAACCCTGGCGCTTTCAAGAAGAAAGAGCGTGATGGAAAGGGAAAGGACGTACACAAACCACTTCCCGTTGCGTCTGGCGCACCCAGAGCAGGACCAGATGGGCTGCCAACTCCAGCTGCAACGCCTTCGGTCGGCGCACCTCCGCTGTCGTCTACTCCGGGTGTCTTGCCACCATCTCAGGAAACGCCCACATCCCACGGACAGGACGACCATCGCAGGAACCGCACCACTTCGAGTTCAATCTCTATCGACGCACATTATCGCGACCACACGATCTACCACCCTGCTATCCCATCCCGAAGCTCCGTGAATACGAGTGTTCATCGTCGCCGTCGTCATCCTCCAGTCAAGGTGTTGTTGGATCGGACGGCAGAGGTCTGAAGAGAAAGCGGACGTTGAGCCAGATCATGGAGGAGAAGGAGCGTGAGCGGAAACGGACCTTGACCAGCGGTACGGGCATTGCGGGCCCAGACGGTACAGTAGGCAGCAATGCCACTGCAGGAACCTCGTCTTCTAGACACTCACCGAAGGGCAAAGGAAAAGGGGTTGACCGTGGTGCTGGCGAGAAGGCGTCGTCCCCATCCAGGCCGAAACGCAAGCCGTACGTGGTTCCTGCATGGGCGCGGACGACGACCGCGACGCAGCCCCGCCTTGCGGAACACGTGCGAGCGCAGCTCGAGGCGGAGCAGGCAAATAAGGAGCTGGAGCTGGAGAACAGAAGACAACGCCGGAGAGAACGGGACAGACAAAGGACGCGAACAAAGTCGAACACTACTACTTTGGCGTCAAGCGATCCCGCTCCGATGGCGATGTCTAGCTCCACGGGCACAACCGTTCTGAGCCCACCCATGGTCCTGGGTACTGCAAGCAAGGCGAACAGACTCATCGTGCCGCCAGATGCGAGACCGCGGACGCCACCGAGGCCTTTGATAGCAGAGAGCTCCGACCTTGCGATTTCTCGTCTCCACTCATGTCACGCTCGACAATTTCAACATCCTCCGCCCCCTTACGTGGCCTAGCCCCAGAAGAGGTACCGCTGCCGTCTACGCCGAAAACACCGAGGACACCAAAGACGCCTAGACGCACAAGGAGGTCGCTCACGAGCTCAAGAGATGAAGACGATCTGTTCGGGTCGCCGCTGTTCACGCCGAAGCGACGCTCGGTCTCGCGTTCCCCGAGACTACCAAGCCTGTACAAAGGCAGAGGTCCGTTGTTTTCCCCCAGGCGGTCAAGTGGGGAACTACGCACGAGCAGCTCGCGAAGCTCGCGTCTAGTAGACGACAGAGCTGCCGACGACGACGAAGATGACTTCCTGTCCAGTTCCCTGCCGGTCGCGAGCAGCGACGCCGACGGATTCGAGGATCCGTTTTGGGGGCCGACCGACCTTGGAGGTTCCAAAAGACCCGAAAGACGAGGATTGGGTGACAGGCTACCACCGTCGTCTCCACTACCACCGTCCAGCCCGGTTCTCTCCCCCGTCGACGCGGACGACTGGACGGCAGAAGAGGCTGCAGAGATGGCAAACGATCCAGATGCCGATCAGGATGAACAGGCCGCGTTGCTGACACCGAAAGCTGCGTCGTCTGCTGCGGAGGCTGACTTTTGGACCGCGAACCTTGTCGAAACAGGGCCCTCAGCACCGACGCCTACCGAGTCTGATTTCCCCACACCTACAACATCCGAACTTGGCCTGGATGCCGGGTCAGAATCTGCACCAACGCCTGAGGATGCATTCTGCGAGACTGGTGCCACAGAAGCCGAATCATCTGCAGTCAAATTCCAAGAGGCCCAGAGCACCCAGGACCACTCGACGGCGGACCTTGTCACCACTACGACAGATTTCACTGAGTCGACCGGTTTCATGAGCGGGGCGAGCTCAGACTTCGCTTGGGCCATGCCTGAGTCGAACTTCGATCCCGCCGCTTGGTTGGGCACCGATTCGGACTCGCAGGCGGCCTCCAGCGACTTTGAGGCGCTGTTCAGCGATCTACCCGCGAGCGGAGACGGTGACGGTGACCCATCGGTCAACAAGGGTCTGAGCGATGCGGAGTTTGCGGAATTGTGGAACACGCTGTTCGTGTGCTCGAATGGGGGTGCCAATCCGGGAGAGGCGGACAGATTGAGCAGACAGCTGCGGCGGGCGTGGATCCGGAGCAGTTGGCGGATAACATTCAGAAGCTGTTGAGCGGGTGTGCCGTATGACGACGTGCGACTGATGTACTTACGCGAGAAGGACGATGGAGGGACTTGTTGCGCATGCTGGTTATTTGTGGACGTCGCACTCCTGTCAATGACAACACTAATAGTATAAATCACCGTTGGAGCTGTCAATGTAGCATAGAGCATAGATTGGCGGCCGTCCGCAGGTTGTCGATCGAGGACCGAAACGTACGAACGCAGCAATCTGATTCAGAGGTTTATAATATGTGGTGCAAGGGAACGATGGGTGCCTGCGGCGAACAGGACGATGCTGTCGTGCCATTTGAGTAGCGTCGAATGTAACCGACTCTGATGCCTTACCCTGCCGTTGCGCTGCGATGGGCCATGTATGACTGCATGACCGGTGACGGGAATCCCCTCACGACGTACATACTTCTCCAGTGGTGCCCGCCACCGTTGAGTATCTGTTCGCGATCGGAGGCCTTCTAACATCCGCCGGTGAAGTATGTGGACATACATGTCCCTGGGCACAATACCCCTGCCAACTGTTGCAGCGAACCAGTCATCGGCATGGAGTTTAGTCTGTGCGTATGATATATTCTGTACTACAACACCTTAGGTATACAGATTGACGTTCTTCATTTCTATTGCATCCCCCAAGCGCCAGCCGCGCGCACTCACAACCGGTTGACGTTGCCGAGGTCGGTGCAGGCCTCCTTGACGCGGACGACGAGGGTCTTCTCGCCCTCGCGGACCCAGACGCGGGGGTCGTAGTACTTCTTGTTGGGCTTGTCGGCGCCCTCGGGGTTGCCGACCTGGCTCTGGAGGTAGCCGCTCTTGTTCTGGACAAAGTCGCGGATGCCGACGAGGTACGCGTACTGCGTGTCGGTGTCGACGTTCATCTTGACGACGCCGTTCTGCACGGCGGTCTTGATCTCGTCCTTGGTCGAGCCGGAGCCGCCGTGGAAGACGAGGAACCTGGCGCACGGTCAGCGGACGGGAGTGGGGGGCGAGAGACGCACGCACAGAGGCTTCTTCTTGGAGAGCTTCTCCTCGCGTAGACCTGGTGCTTCTGGAGGAGCTCGGGGTGGAGGCGGACGTTGCCGGGCTTGTAGACACCGTGGACGTTGCCGAAGGCGGCGGCGATGGAGAAGTTGGGGCCGATCTTGGAGAGGGCGGAGTAGACGTCCCAGATGTCCTCGGGCTGGGTGTAGAGCTTGCTGTTGTCGACGCTGGTGTTGTCGACGCCGTCCTCCTCGCCGCCGGTGATGCCGATCTCCATCTCGAGCCAGAGGCCGAGGGGCGCCATGCGGGCGAAGTACTTTGCGCAGGTGGCGATGTTCTCGTCCTTGGCTCCTCGGAGAGGTCGAGCATGTGGGAGGAGAAGAGGGCCTCGCCGTGCTGCTTGAAGTAGGCCTCGTCGGCGGCGAGCATGCCGTCGAACCAGGGGAGGAGCTTGTGGGCGCAGTGGTCCGAGTGCATCACGACGGGGCTGCGACGGCCGATCACGATCAGCGGGGAGGCCATGTGATTGTGCGCGAGAATGACGTACACGCCGTACTCCTTGGCCACGAGGCGGATGTGGTGGGCGGCGGCGACGGCCCCGGCGATGGAGGCCTGCTGCTTGTCGTTGGCGAGGCCCTTGCCGGCGAAGTAGGCGGCGCCGCCCTGGGAGACCTGGATGATGATGGGGCTCTTGATGTCGCTGCGGGGCAGCGTCAGTGGGCGAGCGGCGATAGGAGCGAGTGGAGGAAGCGCACCGGGCGGCCTCGAGGACGGCGTTTGCGACGGAAGAAGAGGTGACGTTCTGCGCGAGGTCGGAGATTAAGGCGGCAAAGGAGGCGCGAAGGGGGGAGTACTCACGATGGCCTGATTTACGATGGTGCGATGGAGGGTGAGCTGGAGCCGCCAGGAAGTGCGCAAAACTTACGGGATCGCAAACTGAAAGTGGAGTGAGCTGCTGAGACGAGGGAACGGAAGGGGAGACGGACCTGGTGTCCTTCGCATACTCGAAGAGTTTGCGAACGTTGTCGCCAGTGAGCACGCCGGCCTGGAAGACTGGGTGAGCAAGATGACAGCAACAACACGGGGGATACATACGGGGACAATGTCGAGGACACCCATTTTCGCGATGAGGAGGGGTAGTGTAGTGAGATGCGAGGGAGTGCTCGTCGGAGGGGCGGGTATATAAAGGCAGGACCCGGGCGACGGCGCGACTATCGATGACATCACGTGACCGGTGCGGGCCAGAGTCGCGTCGTTTCCGCTCTGCCCAGACACCGTGTCCCATTCGCTATCTCGAGCTCTGTTGAGGCGTCATCGACGTCCAGAGCGCGTCGAGCGTGTCAACGACGAGCTGCAGATGTGCTGTTGGTGAAGGCGCCGACAAAGGGGAGGGACGACGCCCGCGTTGCTCCGACGGGAAGCTGCACGTACCCTGGGTCATCGCTCTCAGACTCTCACCGGGGCAACCCCCTTCCCCACCGGTCCGCAAAGCGCGGCGAGCTATGTTTGCCTTCTGAGCGGTGTCTGAACGTGTCTGAGCGTGCGCATCGAGATATGGTCGTGATTGCTCGCGTGTGGCGGGTGGGACGCGTGTGAGGAGGGAAGCAGTGAGTGGCGAAGAGAGGCGGGTGCGGAGGGCGAAGAGTGGCGTCGCCGCGGAGGGTGACGTGAGCGCAAATCATACCGCCGGCGAGTCGAGTCGCATGTTACTTCGGGGGTCTTTCTGGCAGTCGACCAGAACGCGTTACTGCAGATGGGCAGCAGCCCGGACGCAGGGGAATCGCAGCAGGTGGGGGCGAGGACAGCGGGCGGAGATCTGCAGCCGAGCGCAGGTATCGGGATCGGGCTCGACGATGGGCGGTTCCTGTCGTGTGCGCTCGACGATCGTCCTGCACGCGGACTTGATCGCTGCCAGCCGTGCCTAGCCGCGCTTCTGTCGCTGCACCCAGCTCGTCGCTGCTGCTGCAGCGGGCGTGGCGACGAGCAACACGCAGAGACGGGTCGACGACGACGCGAGAGTGCACGCTGGAGATGCCGGCGGGGAGGGAGCCGGGATTAATGGAATTGCGGAGGCGCCGAGTGCGAGGCGAGCGGAAAGGAAGCATCGCTCGCTCGGGGACCCCGGCTTCGTCCTCTCCACTCCATCGCCTGTGTGCTGCCCTCTCGCCCTCATGCGCCTCTCGATGCGCAGGCTGTGCCTGTGCAAGCACGGCAGAGACTGAGAGGGCCATCGGGGTGCGCGACACGTGTGGGCAGCGGGAGGGCGGGCGGAGGCGGGGACGGTCGCGGGGTCCTGACAGGTCCCATAAGTGTCCACAGCGTCGTCCGCATTGGGTCCGGCTCTCCATTCAAGAACGCGCTTCGCCGCCTCCTTCTCCTCCTCCTCCCACCCCATGCCCTTCCAACGCTACCTCGAGGCAGACTTCAGCCCGACTACCAGCAGCCCGCCCCTGCCGACCACCACGACCCCTCCATCTTCAGCAGCAATGTCCACTTCCAGCTCCCCGCCCTCATCCTCGGCGCACCCACCGTCCCCCCGACGGTGGTGTAGAGCTCCTCCCCCAGGGCTACCTCCCTCATCCTTCGTCCGCCAGCGCATCCGCCTGGTGGTCCAACCCACCGTATCCCTATGACCTGTAAGTATCTTCGCACCCCCTACCTTCTCCCCTTGACCGTCCTCCAGCGCGTCCAATCCGCCTTCCCAAAGTACCAGCAGCACGTCTACCCCCAGCCGTCTGCACCTCCCGCCCACTACCAGCCCTCCCCGCTCATCCCGACCTCCCCAGATCCCTCCCTCCACTCGTCCTACGCCCCTGCTCGCCTCGTCCAGACTCCCGTCTCCGCCACGCGCAGCCCCTACCCCGACCCCCCGCCCCACCCCGTCGTCTTCCCCACGTCCCTCGGCCTCCCCGTCTACTCCACCTCCGGCTTTGACTTTCTCGCCCTCCTCACCGCGTCGCCAGCCGCCCGACCCCAAGATCCACCTCGGCCCCGTCGACATGTCCTGCTCCTTCGTCGTCGTCGACGCGCGCCGCTATGACTACCCATCGCCTACGCCTCCCCTCCTTCTGCAGGCTTACCGGCTACTCCGAGCAAGAGGTCCTCGGCCGCAACTGCCGCTTCCTCCAGGCCCCCGGCGGCAGGGTCCTCCGCGGAGAGCCCCGTCGCTACACCGCTCCCGAGGCCGTCCACGCCCTCAAGGACGCGTGTGCGTCCCACAAAGAGTGCCAGACGAGCATCATCAACTATCGCAAGGACGGTCAGGCCTTCATCAACCTCGTCACCATCATCCCCGTCCCCGCCGCCGACCACGAAGAGGTCGCGTACTACGTCGGCTTCCAGGTCGACCTCGCCGAGCAGCCCAGCGCGATCCTCCAAAAGCTCCGCGACGGCTCGTACATGGTCGACTACTCGCGCAGCGCGCCCTTCAGCGCGCCCAGTGCGCCCGTGCAGCGCAACTGGCGGACCGCCTCCGCCGCCATGTCCGGCGTGTCCAGCGAGCTGCACGACGCGCTCTCTGATGCCACCTTTCTGCAGAGCTTTGCCTCCGCGCTGCCCGGTAGCGCTGGCAGCGGCGTCGTTCCCGGCAGCGCAACTTCGGCGGCCGCCACCACGTCTTCGCCCGCGAATGAACAGTCGGCGGACCCGTACGACAGCAACAAGCCGCTCAACCTGCTCCTCCTCGCCGCCACCCCCGACTTTGTGCACGTCGTCTCCCTCAAGGGCGTCTTCCTCTACGTCGCCCCGTCCGTGCGCGACGTCCTCGGCTACGAGCCCGCCGAGCTCGTCGGCCGCTCCCTCGCCGAGTTCTGCCACCGCGCCGACGTCGTCCCGCTCACGCGCGAGCTCAAGGACAGCTCCGTCACGCCCGGCTCCGGCGCGCCCGCGCCCGCGCGCACGGAGAGCCGCAGGAAGGTCGACCTGCTCTTCCGGATCCGCACCAAGCGCGGCGAGCTCGTCTGGCTCGAGTGCCGCGGGCGGCTGCACGCGGAGCCGGGCAAGGCACGCAAGGCGATTATCCTCTCGGGCCGCGTGCGGAGCATGCCGCAGCTCGAGTGGGGCCCCGTCGCGCGCGGGGGCGGCCTCGCGCCCGCGACGACCGTGGTGAAGTGCGATCCGGAGGACGGCGAGGAGACGCGGGTGGAGGAGCAGCACGAGTTCTGGGGGCTCGTGAGCGCGGGCGGGACGTGGCTCTTTGCGGGGCACGCCGTCGCGGACGTGTTGGGCTGGGGCGCGACGGAGGTGATCGGGCGGATGGTCGGCGACTTTATTGGCGGCGCGCGCCCGCGGAGGTGCAGCGCGCGCTGAGCGAGGCTCTCGCGGTGGTGGTGGCCACCCCGTCGGCGGGCGGGGAGCAAGAGTCGCGTGCGGTCAACTGCGATATGAAGCGCAAGGACGGGTCTCGGATCTTGGTCCGCGTCACCTTGTATCGCCCGTCACAAGGCGGCGCGCGAAGCACCCGTCTGGGCCGGTCCGCGCCCGGTCGTGTGCCAGGTCCGCCGACTGGACGTCAACTCGATACCGGGCGCGCGTCCGCGGCTCATGCACTCCGTCACGGAGAGCGTGTTCGCGGAGCTCGGGGCGCGGCGCGAGAGCAGCTGGCAGTACGAGCTGCAGCAGCTCAAGTTCGCCAACGAGCGGCTGCGCGAGGAGGTCGAGGTGCTCGAGGCCGCCGTCGAGGGCGCGGTGCAGCAGCACCAGAAGCGGCATCGCCACGAGCACCAGCAGGCTCACGTTGCGTCGGTGGCGGCGCCTGCACAGGCGTCGACGTCTTACTCGCACTCGCACTCATGGGCCCCATGACGCAGCTGCCTGAGATGGCGCCGACGTATGCCGGCCGGTGCGTATGGAACAGGAATGGCGGCCGTCGTATGCGTACGATGCCCTGGGCCATCAGCGCATCCCGTCAGCACCCGTGTCTTCCAATCAGCGGCCCATGAGGCTGCCCATGAAACGGCCATGGGATGCAGATGACGGACCGACGTAAAGTATGATTTGGAGTCCTCGTTTGCTGTCGCTTTCGCTTTCGCATGTCTAGATGTTGTCGCATTCGCTGTCGTTCCGCTATCGCATACACAAGAGTTGGCTCGGATTGTATTTGTTCGCACGGAATATGCATACATGAATAATGGATTAACACCGTGAACAGACGAATGCGTGAGTGGCTCGTGGCGGGCGTAATGGTACATGCTTCAGTAGTCAGTGAGTACAAATTGCGGAATACGACGATGCAATGCAATGGGTGAGATGTGAAAAATTATGGTGGCGTAGCAGTAGTCCGTGTGCGTGCGGGGCAGGTTAGGGAAGGGGTTCACGATTGCTGGACAGCCGGTTGAGGTGGATGTAGACATCGGTGCCGAAGCCGTCCATCGAAATGAGGCGCAGATCACCGCCAAAGTATCGTGCGTACTGCAAGACGATCGGCGCGTCACCGTCAGTGGTGTTCACCGGCGTCGATACGCGGGGAGGGATACATACCAATCTCGACAGCGGCAGGCCGTACCCGAAGCCGGCCATGGGCGCCTTGAAGTCGCTCGCCTGGAAGTCCTGGTCGATGTTCTGCCCCTCCATGGTAGTGTACATGTACGTCCAGATGAGCGGGATCGCGCTGCGCGGGATGCCGCCGCCCTCGTCCGAGATCTTGATGGTGATGTCCTCCTTGCCCTCGACGACGATGACCTTGATCGGCGGGAAGTGGTCTTCGTGCTCCGTCCCGAGACGCTCGACGACCGCGCGGAGCGAGTTCTTGAGCAGCTCGAAGCAGATGTGCGACAGGTGGCCTGGCACGTAGGCGAAGTGCAGGTGTTTCGGGCAGATGAGCTGCACGGGCGGCCCTTTGAACATGGCATAGTGCTCCTCGCAGACGAAGCTGGGACGTTGTCGTGAGCATGCGGTCGGGGAATGATGTCGTGTGACATGGAACACGCACCGAGCATTCTCGATCGCTTCTTGAAGAATGTCATGAACGTTCTGACCGGGTCACATGGTCAATACATGGTCCGGGACGGGCTGTACGATACATACCGCTCTTGTGCAGATGATCCCGACGTAGTCGGGGTGTGGCTGCAATGTATTCAAGGCAATGTCTATGCAGACGTGAGTGCGAACCGGACGGACGTGAATGCGAAGGCTTACGTTGTCCGATGAGGAACCGTATCCCTATTCGAGACAGATAAAACCGATCGAGCCAGTGCTGCACGTCGAGGTTGATATTCCGTGCGTTCTGACTGCGCTTCCACTCGAGGACGCCCTGGGCGACCGTCGTGACTGTGGGGTCGTGTCTCCGCTTGATGTGCTCCAGCGACTTGGTGAACCTGCGATTGAACTCTTGGACCTCGGGCGGCCAGTCGACCTTGGACGTGTTGGCGTAGTATCTGCGGGCGCAGTTCGAAAGTCGTTCCGCGGAGTGGAGTTAGAGACGCACCTCCGCTCCATAGGGATGCGCATCTTGTGCTTCTGCCCGTTCGAGTTCCCTACCTTCGTGCCTGAAGCGAGCCCCAGCCCTGTGCCCGTTGGGCCTCCATAGTCGTCGACAAAGAAGGGTAGTGAAGGATTAGGTGTTGATTCTGGGAGGACGACGTCAGAGTTCTGCGCCGAGAGTGCGTCGCGGATGTGCCGAGGCAGCTTTGGCGTCGGGAATGAGATGAGCTCCTGGTGGGTTCGTTCGACGTGAGACAGATAGCGGGCACATGAATAACTGTGGCACACCTCGAACGACTGCGCATACCACTCCTTCACCCTGTTAATGGAAGGCATTGCGCTGAGGTTGTGAGGCAGCTGGTCGAGCTCCTTCACGCGGTGAGCGAGGCGTACGGGGAGCTCCTCTACATGAGGTGCAGATATGGACGCGTCAGTGCAGAGGACGTTGAAACAGCGGGTTGGCGCACGCACCGAGCAGGAACTGGCTGGCCCCAAAGAGCGTTCCCTGACTCGGATTCTGTCCGAAGAGGACCATCTGCTGGAGCGAGACTGGTACGGCATGGGTGTCAGGGCTAACAACGCAGCTTAGGGCGACGGACCTCCAGTCTGAGGGAAGGATGCATAGTGGTGGATCCTCTCCCAGAGGGCGTTCGTAATGCGGAACATGGCAGAGGGAGAGCAGCAGCGACCGACTCGCCCGCGCGGGGTCGACGGTGAAATGGCCAGAACGCAGGTCACATGCCCCCGATCCCCGCACTAGACGCCCTTTCACATGATTCCCGCCCGCCCGCCGTCTGAATGAACCCGCCCGCTGTCGCTCTCGTTCTGCTCGTCGTCTCTACGCTCGTCGATACTGTACATGTTCAATCCTTGCCTTTCGCCTGCTCCGCTCTACGTCCGCCGCTCGCACTACGCGGGCTTCCACTCAACGTGGTGTTTCCCTGCCGGCAATGGTCAGAAGCCGGCCCATGCATCAACGCACATCCAGAACACGCACCCTTCTGAACCTCGCCAGGCCCCTCCGACTTGAGGTCATATGAGTGCGCCCCAAAGTAGTCCATCTCCGCCTCCATGAGCTGGCTTGGCAGGTGTTTCCCCGCACAGTACTTGAAATACTCCAGACTCGCGCTCAATGCCGGTCTGGGGTCGATCGTACCCGGTCCGCATAGTCAGTCCCCGTCCGGCAAATAACAAGCCTCTGCTTTCACCAACTCACATGTGAGCATTCCACTCCAGGCCCAGCGCGACCACCCGCCTCAGTGCACCTATCGTGCGTCGGACCTCCTCCCCGACAACGGGCAGCGTCAGAACGTTCGTGACCGTCCCAGATTGCTCCAGAGCGGGCTGCAGTAGGTCGGCGATGTGCTCCGAGCGAATGATACACCCCTCTCTCCAGATCCGCATACATGTCCCCAGGTTTACGCCCCACCCTTCGTCCTCGCTCGCCCGAGCGATCAGGTTCAGTCCCTGTGCGAACGACGCCAGGCACGTACAGTACACCGCAAGGCGAAGATCCTCCACAAACTGCGTCCGGAATGCTTCGTCAACCTGCTGTTTCCTCGCAGCGCCCAAATTTTGTCCAAGGTTCTCGACCACCTTCATGCGTTGGGCCCGGTCGGCGGACGCAATACGGAAGAAGTGAGCACTTGCTATCGTGGGCGCGGAGACATGTCGATTGGCGGCCTCGACGACAGTCCAGAACCCAGTTCCTGCATGCCCGGATCAGTGCGTCTGAGCTTAATTGGCCGTGTGACTTACCTTCCGTGTCATCTGCGTCCTGGACAACCTTGTCTTGGACTTCGTTCAAGACGTGACTCGGCGGACCATCCGGGTGGTGTCTACCACAGATTTCGGCACCTATGTTGATGAGGAAGTTTCGTCTCTACATGTATGCAGTCAACACCTGACACAGTAAGTTCAACACTCGTACATACGCACCAGTTCGCCTTCAGCTCCCCACTGCTCCCAGATCTTCGCGATCTCATCTAACGGGATGTGCATGCACTTGTACAGCAGCTCCCAAGCCTCATTGACGACACCAAGGATGCCCTGCTCAATACCGTTGTGCGCCATCTTGACGTAGTGCCCGCAGCTCGACGGTCCGAGGTTCGCCACGCAAGGTAAGCCCGTCTTGGGATCCTTCGCGGCGAACTTTTCGAGAAGCGGCAAGACGGAGTCAAGCGCCTTTTTGTCGCCGCTGGGCGAGATCGACGGCCCACGACGCGCGGACTGGTAGCCTCCGGACACGCCCATGGACAGGTAGGACACGCCGCGAGGCTGCAGCGCCTTCTGGCGGCGCCTCGCGTTCTCGTACCACTCGTTGCCGCCATCGAGGATGATGTCACCCTCGGTGAGATAGTCGTTGATGTCGTCTATAACCTTGTCTGCGGGGCTGCCGTGCGGGATGCTGAACACGAAGAGCTTGGGTGTGCTTTTGCCGCCGAGGAACTCGAGGAACGGCTTGTACTCCTTGAAAGAATGTACGCGCGGGTGGATGCTCCGGTCGAGGCCGTCTGCGAGGACTTGGCCGAGGTTGTCGATGTTCTGTGGTTTGATGTCGAAGACGCCGACCTCGATACCGTTTTCTGCGAAGAGCATAGCCATGCCCGAGCCCATCGAGCCCGCGCCGATGACGCCAATCTGGCATGTAGTTGTTACTGTAATCCTGTGTTGCAGAGTCGCGTAGATGTACGGTACCTTTGTGAATGTATCAGCCATGTTGGGTTGTGTGGAAGAGAAGGGTGTCGAGAACGAGGACTGATTGGGCAGCTTAAGTATGTGTCTCTAAACATAACGTCGCTCAACGTCGGCGACACGTTCGACGTCATCGAGGACGTATGTACGATCGCACGCCACACGATCGCGCCTCACACCAACTGGCCATGGCGGCATGCTCCAGTCAGACGGTCACGGATGCATAAGTACACTGTACAACTGGACAGAACATGCGAGCGACATAGATCCATTAGATCGCCCCGTCATAGATACATACATGTACACATTAATGGCCAGGGTACTTTTCGGCCTGCCGCGGGGTATTGGCTGCTCAACGCACATCTTACACTCACACTAAAGCAATCAGCAGGGGTTACCGCGGGTGTGGCCGCGTAACCTCGTCGTAGATCAGCACTGCAAGTCAAACGTCGGTTAGCCCTGCATGTGGATGAGGTTTCTTCACGCACCTTTCAGCTCCTCCTTGCCGAGAGCTTCGCCATAGTCAAAGTCAAAGAACGAGGGGTCAAGTGGCTCTGCCGTCGGCTCGTCTTGCGGGTCGTGGTAAGCCTGATACACATTAACGTGGCGATCAGCATAGCGCGCAATTACCGCGTGGGCTGGACGCGGCATACCTCTAGATATGGGTGCTTCAAAGCTTCATCGACTTCGATCCTACGTTTCGGACTGAATGTAAGACATTTGTCCATGAGATCCAGAGCCTATCACGGCCGTCAGCCAAGACTGGATGCCACATGTCCCTCAATTCTTACCAATGGATTCGCAGTCGGGAAGAGCATACTAAATGGCTTCTTCTTCCGGAATGGTAGGGCACGAATGTACTCTCTTGACCGCGGAGACGTGATGGCGTAGAAATCGTCAAGAGAGGGTGTCCCGAGGACATCCAGAATGATAGAAAGCTGGTGGTGATCTGAGGTGCAGGGCAATGAATAGAGAGGCCTACGAAAAGCGACAGCTACGCACAGTCTCTGCCGGGAAAGAGAGGCTTGCCGCTAAGCATTTCTGCGAGGACACAGCCGACGCTCCAGATGTCGATCGCTCGTGTATATTCCTTGAAGGTGAGCATGACCTCTGGCGCACGGTACCACCTAGTACAGACGAACATGATTACTACACAGCTTCCAGTAGACAGTCATCAGACGTACCGCGTCGCGACGTATTCAGTCATGAATGTACTGCTGTCGTTCGCAAAGTTAGGAGGCGGGCGTGCGGAACGTGCAAGTCCAAAGTCACAAAGCTAGGCGATGGGGACGGGTCAGATGGCTTGGGAAGCGCGTCACTCTGCGCGACGGAGCTGACCTTGAGGTCGCAATTGGCGTTTAGAAGTAGATTGGATGGCTTGAGATCTCGATGGAGCACATCAGCCGAGTGCAATGCCTTCAATGCTCGGAGCGTCTGCGTGGTATGGTCGGAGACGAGGCGACGGTCAGCGTGCCAAGAGCAGGGGACACATGGAGAGCCGGCGCATGAGCGCACCTGGTAAATGAAGTACTGGCAGTGATCGTCGCTGAGCTCTTGGGTGCGGATGACACGATGGAGATCCGTCTCCATGAGTTCCTGTACGAGATAGACTTCTTTGAACTCCTCCAGGCTTGGCGGGCGGAGGATATCCAGGATGGAGATGATGTTCTCGTGATGAAAGTGCCGAAGGAGCTTGATCTCGCGGAGGGTGCGGAGGCAGAACATGGAGTGATCGAAGGGGTTATGCGCTTAATGGCGACCTTGCGCTGGGACGGGACGTGGATGGCTGAGCTAGAGCGTGATGGCGTCGCTGTCTAGCGTGCTGTGTGACGAGGGCAGCGGGACGCACCAGACGATGCCGTATGCACCTTCACCGATCACATCGAGGATCTGGTAGTTGGAGCCGACGACAAAGTTGCTCGCCGCCACGCGGTCTTCCGCGTCGGCCATGACGGGGAGGGTTGGAGGCGGAATGCTTGCGGGATGGCGAGGGTGCTGAGGCCGAGCGCTGAGGAGGCAACGTCTGGGATGGTCGTCGGGAGGCCACCGCCCAGTCAGTGTTGTCTCCCCGCCAATGCTTAGACGCCCTCCCGTTTGGGCCGAGACAAGTCCTTATCCGTCCCGAAAATTGAACCACGTGGCCTGTAAGTGCAAACCGAGTTTGGAGGTCCACCGCCGCCCACTGCTCGCCCACAACGCCCCGCCCCCTCCAGCCTCCCCTTCCCCTCCCGCGGCTCATACATCGCTCGCAAATCCCCCATGCCCACAGCAGAAACAGAAAGGATGCCGAGGGCGGCCAGGAGCCCAGCCGAGAGCTTGAGCCCGAGAAGGATAGGGAAAGAGACAAGAGCGGGAAGGCGAAGGGCTCGGCGAAGAGTACGTACCCGTCGATTCACGGTGCCACCAGTTGTTGAGCAGACGTTGCCCCGTCTGCAGCCAAAGATCTCTCCCATGTCCCCTGCAAATTTTCAGAGTCGGCTCGTGCACCGCGGGCGCGTCCTGCCCCTTCTCCCACAACGTCCTGGAGCCCGGACAGCAGAAAGAGGTCTGCGCATGGTTCGTCAAAGGGAACTGCAAGTTCGGACACAAGTGCGCCCTCGCCCACGTCCTGCCCGGGCAGAGCATGTCTATGGACAGGAAGAACAAGAAGGCTGCCCAGCTTGCCGCACAAGCTGGGGGTGCTGGTGGCAGCGGCGGCCGCGAGGGTGGCAGACGTGGTCAGAAGACAGGAGCGCACGGCAGCGGGTCTGGCAGTGCTCAGAATCGAAACGGCCTGCTTTCAGGCTCGACCGCGCCAACGCGAGCTCTGGCGGGTAACTCGCGGTCAAGCATTCCCATGCCTCTGAAGGCCACTTTGTCGCCATCGACCCCTGCGCCGCCTGTTAAAGATACCGACTTTGCTTCGTTCGGTTTGCCCGACGAGAGCAACAAACTGCCGAGCGCGCCCGCACAGGGTAAACCGCCCGCAGTGCCGGCGCCTGACGTCTCTTCCTCGGTGTCTCCTCCCACTACCACTTCGACAGAGCCTGTTCAGATCGAGTCATCGGCGAACGCGGATGCTAGCGAAGCTGGTGCGCTTCCGACAAGCACCCCTACTGCTCCTCGCCGAATGGCAAACGCGCATGGCTCACCGCCAGTCGACTTTGGACCGATCGGATCACCTCCTCGCTCTTCAGAGTCCGCTAGCCGTCTTGCTCGCGTCAACGGGTTCTCTCCGGGTACGTCTCCCCATGCAGCCGGTCTGTCTACTTCTCCCTTTTCGGCCCCGGGCTCTCGCTCCGTGTTCGCAATTCAAGGAGAGGAGGACGCGTCTGGTGGATACGCGGGTCGTTCTGGTCTGTCTGCATCTTTAGGAGCGATGATGACTTGGTCAAAGGATCGGCCATCTCGAAGACTGGACAGCGGTGTTGTAGGCGAGGTGGTTGTCGAGGACGAGGATTTGGAAGAATTCCTCCCAAGTTCCCTTACGGATCTGCTAACGCCTGAGGAGAGATCTAGAAGATTGTCCCGCACGAACGGCGTTCGCCCCAATATGATAGGAGCAGATCGCGACGGAGCAATCGGGGGTCACAGGCTCACGACAGAAGGTCAACATCATAGGTACTCCCGATCGGTGCCGGCACCATCACTGCTTCAGGATATCAAGTCGATATGGGCGGACAACGGTGGGACTGGTGCAGGCCCGTCTGAGTTGGCAGGTGCTACGGGAACGAGCGTCACGGGCGGTGGCCTAGGGAACGGTACGCCGAGCTCGTTTACGTCCAATTCTGGCCTTGCTGGCAGATCAGGCGAAGACATGCTGTCGCCGTCGAACGCTTCTGCAGCGTTCCTCCCAGGTCTTCATCACCACTACCTCAACTCCAAGGTCCAGCGTACAAACATGCTCGGCGGCGGGCTGTCGGCGTTGCACGCGACCAACCCCAACGGTCTGTCTCACGCCAATGTTGGCACGCACCCACCGAGTCTTGCACCGGGTGCCTTGTCTCCACCTCATACCAGCGCTCTCGGCAATCGACCTCCCATGGGCAGCCCGTCATCGGATGTGTTCTTCGGACAGCAGCGACATCCTGCGCCGATGATCAATGACGGGTGTGTTCTTCGTGTAGATGGTCCTAACGCGACATACTCACCATTTACCAGAGCTTTACAAGCACACGCTCCCGGGCAGAGTCTACCTCAAGGACTGGCGGCAGGGTATTCGAGGATTCACGCTTTGCCTCCGCCCGTCATCGCGTCTCCATCCACGCCAGGCGCTTTCAGTCAAGCGGGCGGGTACTCGCCAGGTACCAAAGTGTTTGGGCACGCGCAAAGTCCGTCGGGTGACTGGCACAGTGTGTCGCCCGGGGCTGCGAACGCATTGGACGCTCTCGTGCACTTCAACGCACAGGCTTCTGCAGCAACTAACACAACGTCCCTGGGAGGTTTGGAGACGGTCTTCTCGCGATTGTCTTACTCTGCTGCCGCGACACGTATGTTCCCTGCTTCATGTGTCTTCATATATTGACAATTATCCTTGACAGGTGGTCCACAGGCGACCATTGGCAACACCGCCCGTAACCTAGTGGGCGTAGCTATAATCCGCAAGGTTCCTTGAGTCCCCTAAGCGGGCCAGTGCTAACCGGTGATGATGATGACCTGTTCAGTATGGACGGTTAAGCTGTACTTGACTGTTGTATGTACAAAAGTAGTGTTTTCTGTGTTGCAGTAGGTCCAGAGATCATGTATAATTTAAGTTGCTATGGGTTCTGGGCAGCACTCGGCACATCTACAGTAATCTGATGGTCATGTTTTGTACTGCTATGCAATGCTTTGTGTGTGCGTGATCTGTTTGCAACAGAGGCTCTTGATATTCCTTGGTATTGGGTATTAGGTATTGGAACTTTCTGGGAAGAGGTTATTAGAGCAATGCCATTTGCTAATTATGACACAGAAAATGTGGGGTGGGAAATAGATGCAGATCTGTTGATGCAACCATGTAATTCATGAAGACATGCCCATGACTCAAACTGCCATATTCTATTAAACAATGAGACTTTGAAATGGTAGTAGACTGATCTGACAGCCCATCATCAAGACATTAATTGAAGCTGTGCTCCATTGGGTCCCTCATCTTAAGCAATAACAAGTCCAAATAAGATACTCAGAGCACTCTCGACTACTATCGGCGCTATGGTGGGGTCACATGTGCCACGGTGATAAGTGGTACATGACCATGTATGGACATGATTGAAATCGAGTAAAATGTCTGAATAGCACCAGAGTGTGCAATGAGCCCCCAAGGCATCCCCTGTGAGAAACAATCTGTGTACTCATGTATGGCAAGGAGAGAAATAGAGCCTGTTCATATTATGTAGTATGGTGTGCCACAATGCAGGTGTCTCATAGTTGCGCAAGTGGCAAAACACTCAGCTTACAAATCAGCTGAAAGCTAGTGTTTTGGCTGACATTGGTTTTGCCCACTGAGGCCTTTAAGAAGAATTTTGATAATGAGGCAAGCAGCCTTGGGCCCTTGACAGGCCTAGACGTAGTAAGAATGGTCACCTCAATGGTGTCAAAACAGTGAGGATTGCATTTGTGCACAGTGCATAGTACAGTGGTACTACATGTGACTCTACTACCACAATTTGCAGTACTACTTATGGCTATCATGTAGATCAATCTGGACAGTGCACAGTGGAAGGGAAACAGGAAGCAAGTTAATGAGCAAGGTGGTGAATGGACTCAACTTGGACATGTCTGTGGCTGAGCTTTGGCTACTGCCAAGAGTGAGCACTCAGGTGGAATAAATGTATCTTCACATGGAAAAGGCACAATGGCTGCCAAAATGCATGATCAGATATAAGATACACATAATATCTCCAATTTGAGTGTGCTCAATGGGAAACTAGTCTACGTAATTTGGAGAAGATAGGGGTTTTCTTGTTCTTGCCCCCTCAGGAGGGTGTCAAGTGCCAACAGCCACAATCACATGATGCAGTCAAAAATTCTCTGGGTATATCTTATGAAGACCTTGTTCCTGTTATGTCCACTGTACTGACATGTAATGACTGAAGGTTACAAAGCATTATTCTACAACTTGCTGGGGAGAGGGCCATGGCTGGCAGTGCAATCCCATTGGTTTAGACACATATTGATTTGTGAAGAAATTCATTATTTCACATTTGCACTATCTAGTTGCTGCCTGATGACCCAAATATTCCATGTATCCTGGTTATCCATATTGTTGATTTCAGTGCTCCATGATGAGCAATATTCCAATTGAGTAAGTAAGCTGCCATGTGTTGTGTATAATTGCTATATTCATAGGAAAGTGTCTGTGAAGAGCACAGACATGCATACTCAATGGTCATGGTGTCCAGTCATAAGTCCCATGAACACAAAGGGTTTATACCTTTGTGAGATAATTTACAGTCTCATTTGCTGGCTGACACTTCTTTTGTATGCATACACATCAGCCACAACATTGCTCTCATTAAACCACCCTCTCAATATATCAGATTCTCTACTGTTGATTTGGCATGGCAGGTACTCCAACAGATATTACCACAATGCACCATCTGTAATAATACCTGCTTGTTAGACCTTCCCATGATACATACAATGCTGTTCAAATGGCACACTGGGTCTAAAGTGTTATTTTACCACTTTCCATATACCATCAAAGAACCCAGCATGAGTTAGCCTACTAGCTGGCATTTGTAATAACATGTAAGGGAAAATGTTGCTGCCAATGAGAGCAATCTGAAGTCACTTATTGTTGACTAGAGATCTAGAGAAGGACAATCAGATATTTGCCTAGAAGTCCACCATAGTATGGTCTCTTGCTTGTTGCCTAGTAAACAATGAAAGTCCAAGTGACAAAAGACATTGCACACATAGACATCATCAATACATGGTACAATCATTCCCTGCCCATATGAACAAGCCAAGAATTTTATCACCACATACTAAGGGTCATTGCATAACAATAGGACCTGGTAATACATTAGCCTGTAATATGATCATAGAGGTTAGATATGCTCCAGGAAATGTTCATATGAGGGAGTAGAGTTGATGTCATCTTATTTTCTGCCATTTATCCAGCACTGCAGCAATCATGAAGGGCTGGGATATACTATGTATGGTAAGTCTGCATGTCTAATTGCTCACCTCATGACACTGGTAGTCTACAGAGTTCTCTAGTAAGAGTAGTAAATGCACAGTACAATGTCTCTGTGTCACTTCTAGGATCAGTACAGTATGAACAAATTCTGGAACCCATATTTGTGATGGCTATGACATTATACAAGGGACATGCAAAGCAGAGTGAATAATATGAGGATTTTCAGCATTGATTGGGACTTTTGTGCTGCAGGTATTCACTGTTGAGTGATCATGGTCCACATAAGGGGTTGAAACAGAAGCCAATCACTAGTTATGGCAAGTAGTACAAGGTGGGTAGCATCTTACATAACATTTCCCTCTTTTGTCTGCATTTTCTGAGCCCAGACAGGTAATTCAAACTTTCCAGGTCAGCTACTACATAGTATCCACACAATTCATAGGTAATTGGTAAGCACCAGAGGAAACACAAACAATGTGAAAGAATGTGTGTGTACAGAGGTATGTGTATTTTATTTTGCTTTGTGAATGGTGCCATTGATATGAATGTATGGGAAGGCATACTATGTACAGACTCTACAACATCATACATGTGACTGGGAATATACCCAATTGGTTTTGCATTTTTGGGAGGCCACAGCACAGCAAATACAGTGTCACTGATGAGCTTGTGGCTGGAATTCAAACTCAGCTCCAAAGTTTGGCACCCTGCATGTTCAGGGCCTGTTGAACTGTTGAACTAAACATAGCAGCCTATGATTCTGTTTGGAGTTGCCAGTTCCTGACAATTCCAGGTGATACTGGTGGTTACAAGATATACAAAGACTCACTGAAAGAGTGGCTTATATCAGGCCATGCATGGGAAACTCTGCACTATCATAGGTTTTTTGCCACATGTGAGCCTCAATAGTGAGCACAATATGGATGTATAATACTCCTTGATTTTCTTCTGATTTTCCTGCTATTTATCCAGTACTGCAGAGGCCATCCATAGCCAACTTCCTAAATGGGCAAGAGGCTAACCATATATGGCAGGTTTCCATGTCTGCTTCAAAGACTCCCCTCATACCTGTGGAGCTCTCTAGTAAGTATGCACAGCAAGATCTGCTCATATGCCTCAATATCACTTGTCATGGCCAGTGCTCTCAAAGATACCTAATCTGGACACACCTATGAGTATCCAAGGAGCATCCCATGGAGAAGGAATATTTTGGGATTTTATCGCATTTAATGGGGCTCTAGTAAGAGCTCAGTTAGTGCTGCTTGAAGCCATCAAAAAACTCGGCATGAAGAGCTGAGATTGAGAACATTACTTTAAAAGGGAGCATTTGTCAGCATCCCAGCCAATGGGAGTGCTCCAAAATCCCTTGTGAGTGACCGGCCTGTCAGCGACTCCGCTTCGGCAACGGGCGCTCAATGGAGCGCTTAGTAAGCGATGTAAGTGCACACTGTTACTGCAGCAAAACTCACTTGTTTTGGGCTCAGAAAAGTAAAGGAAAATCGGATAATATTCTTGGAGATCTGTGGGACATGCCTAAGCATATTGACCAGTGGAGAGAACTTCCAAAACCATTCATTCAGTGCTGGGACACTAACACATCAATGTTATGACAATATTTCCCCATTCATAGCAGTACTGTGCATTGCTAGACACACTCATGCTCTGTGAACTACATGCATGGTCTATAAAGGACATGATATGTGCTATAGAGCCAACAATGTGTTCATTTTTGTAGTCACTTGTGAATGAACTTTGCATTGTGCTATTCATTGAGCCACTTCTGGGGCTCAAATTTATCATAGACACTCTGAATGAAGGGCTATAAGGTGAGCTTACTATATCTATTACAGTTGGTGGGAGCTCAGTCAGTGTATCTCAATCAAATGCTACCCAATTATGTCTACAGAGGTAGAGGTGTTTCTCTGCTTTTTTGGGTTTTGGATATTTTGGCAAGCCATACTAGTCATAGACTGGGGGAGCTCCATGAAGGATCAATTTATTACACACAACAGGCATTACAAAGTAGTCCAATTGCACATAATATTGCCTGATTTTATCTGCATTATTTGAGCCCAGACTGAGCAGCTGAGTGAAAGTTACCATTTGAGGCAGGTCAGCTACCCTATATGGCAGGTCTCAGATGTCATAGAGACATAGAGAATCTATGGGCAGTCTATAGGCTTCAAAAGATTCAATTTGGGAGTGAAAAGGAATGCATTCATGTGCACAGAGGCATATGTGTGTTTTTTTTGTTTTGTGGATTGTGCCATGACCACTGAACATCATGGGCATGTCATACCAGCTATAGGGTCTATGACATCATACCTATCATCAGGAATATTTTGTATATTTTACGCATTTTTGGCTTGTGGCTGAGATTCAAACTCAGCCCAAAACCTCGGCAGCCTGCCTGATTAGTGATTAGGGCAGGAAAGCACCTGCTGAGCCAATTAGAGCAGCCCAGCATCCCTCCCATGCTGTTTGGAGATGCACACATCCCAAAATTTGGCACCAATGCACCTCCAAACAGCATCTAGGTGCTTAGTAAGTGATGTAGGTGTGGACTGTTACTGTGGTCAAATGGGGCTTGTTGAGACCCGGGGAAAAGCGGAAAATCAGACAATATTCAGAATGATTCAGGCAAGATGCTTATAGCCTTGGATGATACAAGTGCCACATCAGCTAAGGCACTATTCTCATTAACAAGGTGAGATTGACTTTTAACCTTTACATCTTTTTATGCTACCATCTTTGTTAACTCGAAGGACCATACTCGCTTACTCTCATACTCTCACTCTCGACAGTCAACTCGCTTCATCCAACCTCTGCGCTATCCATCTACCCCATCTACCCCCAACCCATGTCGACCACGACAACCAAAACCAAGCAACGGGCTCAGCCGACAACAATGAGCCGACCTGTCACTCGTGCATCGAGCCGAGCCACAATGCAGACACAGCCCGATACGGTTAGTGCATTGCATGGGTATGAGTAACCCATGTGGGTCATGGGTATGGGTATGCATGGGTATGGGTATGGGTAGCCAAAATCTGACCCATGTACCCATGAAACCCATGGACTTCTGCAGTGCTTATCCACTGGCAGTAATCAATGTTAATTCCTAGCCAGGTATTCAGTGTTGTGTCACTCTCATAGTATGCTAGCATTTAGGGTGTCACCATTCTGAAGCTTGCTTGAGAGTATTTTGCAATAGTGGCAGTATGGTAAAGTCACCAGTCATTTTTCCCTCAAGACTCATTGACCATGCATGACATGGCTTTTGCCAATATTGATATGCTATAATCAAATACACAGATTGCTGAGGCCATCAAATAAGCAAATGAAATATCTAATGTGCATTGCAGTGTATGTGCTGTTGTGGCTCAAATGAAGAATTAGGAGAAAGCTCAACTAACCTTTTCAATGCACAATGATTACTGCAGTGCCATGTGTTTGTCAGTATGGTGTAGCTGGAATGCTCTACCAAACAATGTGACCATACTGAATCCTACTTACTTTAAAGCTGTCTTTGTTAGACAGCTGGTAATACTGTGTAATGCTTAGTTGGTCACCTGTGACAAGGGATCCTGATGGAAAAGAAATCAGCATGATTGCTATGTCACAAACACTTTGAGATGGGCCTATATGCTTGTCACACCAGCAGTACATACCTATGAGGTAGTGTTCATGCCTTGTTGGTCAATTCAATAAATTCAAGGTGCTAGTGGAATGGTATTGACAGCGGCCACATGACCACTCAGATGACAAACCTTCTTAACATAGAGTAGGGCCTATATGCACCACTTCACAATTGGCAAGCTAAGCTCAATGAAACTGCCTTTTGGCATAGTCATTGACAGGCCTTGCCCCTTATTGATGCTATATTGGTGAAAAAGTAATGAAATGTGGGGATCCTGTGATGATATTGCTTAATAATCCTGATATGACTCTCTTCCCACAGGCTGTTATATGTGAAAGACACTGCTGGTATTGATGGAGCACTGCTACATCTTTCCTGTGATTCAGTTGTGTAGTTGTTGAGTCTGAGGTATATTTATCTGCTGACTGTTGACCTGTGATACTGCTATATGTAAACAGCACATGTTATAAGGCTCTGCCCATTGCCTCACTGTTCATATTTGGTAAAATATGTAAGATCTATGGATGTATACAACCTTGCTAGTTTCATTCCTCAGTTCTTGTGGGTCTGTGTAGCTATTTGTACTGTTATGACACACTTGTGTAACCACCAGAGTTATGAGTTGTAATACATACCTTGCTTACATGATCTTTGTGCCTTGTTTACATTGTTTTCCCTTTTTGTCAGTTGTTCATCTTTGCCTATCCTGTATTACCTACCCTTCAGTTCTTACTTCAGGCAACACACTTGCCCATTCTATTGCAGTATAACAAGTGAGCATGACATGCAACAACACTACAGGTCTACAACTTGGAAAAAGGTACACCCCTGTGTATTGCTATGTTTGACTTTGATACACTGGGAACCTTTGACCCCTCCCATACCCACTCATTTTTCTATTGTTCTTGCATGTATGTGGGACAAAAACTGGAAACTCCCACTGTTGTGATTGACCACACAGTCAGTGAACTGGTCTGAGGGGTGCTCATCCTTGGTCTTGCACATAGCATCAATTTATGATGAGAATTCACCAACTGTACAGTGCCTGATTGATATTCTGGCCTCTGCACAATAAGTGTCATCATATCTTGCAAGCCATTGAGCATGAACTGCACATAGGACTACCCATAACATTACCCATACCCATGGGTACTCAGAATACCCATGCAAAACCCATACCCATGGCATGGGTATGCAACCCATGTGGGTATGGGTATGGGTATGCTCTGAGACACCCATGGGTACACCCACGCTATGCACTACGGGCACGTGAATACGAGCGCATATGGCAGCGATCGCGCCCCTACTCGGCGCTTTACCGCGCTCTCTTGACTGCGACCTCGTAAGAAACCTAGAGATAAAAAAGAGGACCCTTTGCGAGCCACGGTGAGTCTTCTTTAACCAACATTGCTCCGTTGACCAGACAGTCTTGCGCAGGCAGATCACACAGTTGTATTGGTGTGAATTCGTGTGTATTGAACGCGGATATTAAGTCGGTGAGTACTTAAAGCAGCTTGGGTCTCTATACTACGTACCGCATGCCCTGTACCACCCTGGGCGTAAAACCACCGAAGCGATGGAGGCGGTGGCATGGGAAATGGCTGCGCATGTCCCCCACTAACGCCGGCCCTGGCTGCGAGCGATTAGAGGCGGGGTACGTACTTTGAAACGATGTCCGAGTGTATCGCAACTCGGTGAGCCGACGCGGAAGGCGCCAGCATCTGACGTGTGCACGGCGGGCGTCCTAGACCTGCTCAGGGCAGCTGGGCCTACTCGAGGTAAGGAATAGGGGGCTGCGCATGGAGCGTACCTCTGAAGGGGGGGACCCCGGCTGCTGTACCTGCGGTCACGTGGGTCAGTGACTCAGCATACGAGGCAAATGAGGCAGCCAGGGTTCTCTGCCAGTCGAGCTTCGTACACTACTATCGTAGGCTCCCCGTACGCATCGATGTCCATGTCTCGCATCGTACGGCAGCGTGCACCGTCTGCTCGTCCCTCCCCCTCTCGTTCCCACTCTCGCATGAGAGGTAGAGGGGACAGCAACTCACACAAGGGTACTGTTCAGAGACCTGAAGATCGCGCTCTCTACCAGATTGAAGTGGACAACATTTACAATTGCCCCACACAAGGTGAGAACCATAGCCTACATTGTGAGGGTACAGCAAACTGATCAACTTGGGCCAGTCGCCCATCCTTCTGGCCACCAGAAGTCTAGGGACCCTGGTAAGTAAACGACCTTGGAATCACCGTCTATCAGACACCTCACCCGACCCGCCATCTTAGACATAATTGATCGCAAGGTCGAGGAGAACAAGGATGCAGTCGAGCAACATCAACTAACCTATCCAGCTGTGGTCCACAAGGCCTTCGGTAACTTGGTCTCAGCTCCCGGTTTTCCGTACATTCGCGACATCGATTGGGTGCGTCTCATCTTCCGTTTCTCAGTGTAGTACTCCTCTAACATCATGTCTACACAGCTAGTCAAGGACTTTACGAAGGAGGATTGGGAGCAGCTGCAGCTAACGATCAAGGAGGAGCATCCGCAGTTGATCTTTGTCAAGTGCGTGCGCTAGGGTAGGGTTTCTCATCTCAACTGCTGAAGCGCGTCACTATAGGTACTATTATGATCAAGAGGCGTGCACTCTCAACATGAGCTCGCCGTTCTTTCTTCACGAGGACATGATACACGCGTTTGTTAATTTGGTCAGGAGGAAAGTGGGCATCTACGTGCCGCCCCAGTTCCTGCACCAAATCTTTACTGCGGTCTTGCAACTGGCGCCCCATCACCCTGTTCCTGGGGAGACCGAACAGGTCACAGTTCCGGACTCCGTCGTCAGCCTGGTGATGACGGCTGGAACGTACCCGATGGGCCTACTGGAGGTGTCGAAGTCTCAGGATTTCCGGAAAGCTTTGCGTAAGGTGAGTACGTGCAGGCTGACATTCCTGTCTATTACAGTGCTAACATGAGGAGTTCCACAGCTCTACCACGCCGGGCGACAGCACATCCTGAACACTAAAGAGATACAAATGTCATTCCTGTTCTGCATCAATGCTGAGGAATACCCGCCCTATCACTCCCCCGACAAAGGCTTGAACGTGCGGGAAAGTGACCTGGCCTACGACGACCAGCAATACGCGCAGCAGCTCTTGGACCACGGTGGGGTCATACCCGGCATAGGCCTTGGAGCGCGGGAGGCCACATGTTCTGCGGGGCGATAGACATGCACCTGTTCAACGTGGACCCACAGAGCACCAGGCAGATGCGTACATTGAAAAAAGGCATCAATAATCAGTGGCCCCTTGAGATGTGGGTTGAGCAGGGTATAGCCATCGTGAGTCTTCGTCTTGTAAACACTGACACGATCAACTGACTATACAACACAAGCCTGTCAAGCGCGACTACAACACCGCCCAGCTCAAACATCAACACGCCAAGTTCCTTGAGGGCCTTCGCCAGGCCCTCGACAACCAGGTTTGCGCTATGGCGGAGGTGATGCAGCTCAAGCAGTCCAAAGACTTGTGGTGGCCGGCCGTACACAAGGCGTCAGACGAAGATCAAGATTACTTCAGAAAAGTCTACTGGCCCACTTTGACGAACAAGCCTATTACGCTCGAGGATGTCGAGAGCTTCATCGACGAATTGATTACGGGCGCAGTAAACGGTGCGCGTTACACGGCTCTATACCGTCTCAACGCATACAACGGCGTAGTCATTCCGTTGCAAGGCCGTACACATCTGGCAGGTGACAAGCCAGATCCCTGCCCTACGCACCTCATGGTGACCGCAAAGGGTCTGAACATGGGGGCAGCCTTGGACGAAAGCCTAACCCGCCTTCAGAATCGGCCCGTGTCCTACAGCGGGCGTACCTCGCGTGACGGGGGCTCGACCGCACGCATGGCTGACGATGACGAGGACCGCGGTAAAGGGAGCTCGACTATGTATATGGATGTGTCTGATGAGGAGCAGGGAGACTAGGGAGGGACACCTCACTCTCAGCTCTTCGCCAGATTGCGAAGGAAACACTCGTCGAGTCTCCGTGAGGTACGTTAATTGTAGGTCCTCAAGTACATCTATTTTATTGCTGTCAACATCATTATCAATCTCGCTATCCATGCTCTCGCCTATCCCTGCTCTCGAGTCGCTCGTCTGTCCGTACTGTACGATTATGAAAGCGTAGAAGTGTTTGTACTTATGTCTGTAACCTCCGCTCCGCAGCCTATACACGCATTGTCTAGCCATCAATCGGGAGCTTCCCAACCGCTTTGCCAATCCGCCGGCAGTCTATCGCTTGACAGCTCAAGCTTGCTCTTGACCTTTGATAGACCACAACGGGTGGTCGAGCAATAATCATTTCGTTTAAATCTACCTATTGCTACATCCACAAACGTCTGGTCGCCTACGCATGGCGCAGTAGTGATCTGGAGAGGCCGCAACGAGGTACTGTACACAATTGATACCAATCTCTGTTTGTTGATAAGTGTCAAAGGTAGTGAATTCTTAGTGTTATATCAATGTATTCGTGAATCTGTCTACCACCGGAACAGTACAAATTCGCGCGGACGAAAAGGTAAGGATAATCCATACATTGCACCCCAAGTTTTAGCGCCCACCGCACTGCGTGCGACCGCCACCGCCACCACCTCCTCGTTGTCCTCGACCACTCCCGCTCTCTGGGCAGCCACCGCACGCACCCGTCTGGCAAACCAGACGCACGCGCCGTCCCAACGCGAAGGCAAACTTGCATCCGCGACTGGCTGGCTGACCTGCCGCCGGTTCAGTCAACGGCAACCAACGACCTGGCACCTCGCGGTACCAGATCACTACTTCCTTCCTCCCCGGCTCCTCACCTCTCCCCTCTCGTCTCGTGACTTGACTTGGGTGGCCTCTCTCTTGGGTCTAGTGACTCTGGCGACTCCTACCGTGGCTCTGGCGACACGCAACCCAGCCGCGCGACCAGGACTTGAATGACGCGCGTTAGGTCCAGCGCCAAGCAGCAAGACTGAGCGGACCACGGAGAACGCAGAGCGAGGAGGGCGTAAGGAGGATAGGGATTATGAGCAGACAGAAAGGGAGAAGGAAGGGTTCGACAACGAGAGCAAGCCGGAGCACCTGGCAGGCTCGATGATTATAGGTACTGTTGAGCAGACTAGGTCACACGTAGTGGACCGCGCTCTAACTTACCTGCTTGAAGGTTGGATACTTGAGGCACACAAGTTACTTTGTGGTGAAGGAACTGAAGAGAGAGCTATGCTACTGGTGGGTCTTATATACATTGAGAGACGCTGACTAATACTACTGTATAGTCCATTCCCACGCATGACTTGCTCTATGCGGTAAGTGCGGATCCAGCATGTGCAGTGTGATCCGGCCCGTGGAACCCGGCGGCCCGGTGGGCGCCTATACGGTTCAACAGGTACGCCCTTACAGGATGTACCTCCTTCGCCGCCGCCTATCCCTGTGCCCGCGCCAACACGCGTATCGACGAACACGAAGGTCGTCGTGCGCCCTGTTGGCTACACATCACACGCACGGGCCCTGGTACAACCTCCAGGTTGTACCGGGCAGAATGCACGGCGACACCGTGGACGCGCAGATCTGCGCGTTCGACGTGCCCTACGCTTCCATGAATGCGCCCAGAGCTGCAGCGACAAATGGAACCTTTGTTGTGCACACTGGGGCCCACGAAGATCGCGTGGTGCGATCCGGCATGGCCTAATGGTCGTACCTTCAGCTCTGCAAGAGGGCACGCCTGTGCTACGGGACGACCTCGCGGCCGTACCTTTCACTCTGCAAGGCGGCACGACGGACCCGCAGCGATGCATGTCCAACCGTGCCCGGCTCAACTTTGACTGCCTGTTTCGCGGTGTTCCCTGACCTCTCGTCGAGCAGTTGCAGCGCGCGATCAACTATGTTTCAAATAAACTGCAACGTCTTCACGGAAGTTCAGGCCCTCGGCCGCTCCAACGCAGCTGAACCCCATTTGGCTCGGCTGGCCGAGGAGTGGGAGGACCCCGACGACCTCACTCGCGACTCAATGTCTGGCAGGCATACAATACGTCCAACCGCAATTCAAGGCGGCCCGCACATCCTCACGGAAGTGCGAGCATCCGGTACAATCGAACCCCGCCTGGGTCAGCTAGCAGGAACGTGGAACAACCTCGATCCACCCTCGGATGGCCAGCACTCATGTGCGGCCGCAGTCCAGGATGACTTGCAACCCCTAAGTACAGGAAGTGCGAGCCTCCGACCTCAAGGCGGCTGAACCTTCAGTGGTTCCGCTGGCAAGTCTCAACCTCAACCTCAACCTCAACCTCAACCTCGGTGTTTCCAGCAACCACCACCTTCCTGCAATCCCGGCGACGCCGCGAGCTCGCCATCCGACGCTGGCGCAGTCCCACCAAACGCGCAAGCTCGAAATCGCAGCCCGCAGTGCAGCAGCCGGGTGCCTACGGATCCCGACCGGCGAGAACGGCCTCCCGACCGTCAACCTGGCGAGAACTTCACAGTTCTCGCTGATGGTTCGTTCCTAGGGACTCCATTCAACTCAATATCGACCTCTCAGCGGCCCCCGACGTCAGTGGCGACTACGACAAGCACATCGTGCGCGCACTCCGTAGATAGCGCTCAGGAGAGAAGGAGGAGAGGGATAGGGACAGAGGAGAGGGATGAGAGTGCAGAGGCAGGAGGGGTAGACGAGGAACGTCTGGCAGAAGGAGGGGAAGGGGAAGGGTGCGGTATAGGCAAGGAAGACGAGCATACGTGCTCGAAAGATGAAGGTGCGTCCCTGCTGGACGTGCCTCCCCCGCCTCTAACCCCACCATCTCCTACACAGCCACCACCACTCGTGACGACCACGACAACCAACACGGTTGCCGTGGCGGTCACCATGCACGTCGGTGGTACTGACGGCCCACGGGGCGACCTACATGTCGCGACCGGCACGGTCACGCAATGCGGTACGATCGGCGAGCTCGCTCGGTCAACCAACGTACTCACCGTCATTGTGGCTCACGCACAGATATCGGCCTTTTCGCGCGACATCTATGATAGACTGAGGAGCTTGGCGGTGAATTGGACTGCGAGTAGCCCACGGTCCTCGCCCCGCCGTCACCACCCCCCGTTCCTGTACCAAATCTTCGTTCTCGCGGGTTCAGGTGCCTGGGCCGTGCAGTGAGGCAGGCACATCAAGTATATCAAGTGATGTGTCCGCATCGACTCGCGCGACGAGGGTGTCATCGTGCACCCGAACGAAGACACATTTCTGAGAGCCGTTTGGTGGCTTCCGGCTGCAGCTGGAAGAACGGAAAGCCCAGCCGACACGAGGGCAGGGATCGACGGACGCAGCGTATGGCGAGCGGGGCTTTGAGCAACCACCGCTTGCTTCATGCCACCGCCAGTATATCGCGCGAAGACGTACTGGTTACGGATCTCACAGAGACACGGACATCAAGCCGTGGGCTCGACATACGGGCCTCACGTCAGACATCGAGACAGGTACCACCAGTACCGCGTGCATCGAGCAATCGACTCGACGTGCAGGATACTGGTGACCGTTACGGCCACGACATCACTTGGGGAGCCAGTACCTCGCACCGCGAAGTACTGGCATTGAACCGAGTATTGACTGTGCCGAAACGTCCAGTAAATGGCGATGTGAGTCGCTGGCCCACGGACAATGCTTTGCGCTAGTCATGTTTCAGTCTATTCACGGACCAACTGGATCACAACTTTGACGAGGCCGAATTCGCGGTGAGTGTTGGCGAGTGGGCCACTTGGGCTCACTGCAAGAGGTTGGCACTTCGCTGTGGAGTCGTGTACTACGGGTCAATGTGTTGCATCAACATTTCATAGGTCAATGACCTAGTAGAACATACTGAAGTCTTGCAAGGAGACCGTACCTCGTACGGGCTCTGTATATTTCACGTCCCCCGCAATGTTGATTTGCTGGGCAACCCTGCAAATGCAAGCACTTTCGAGCTTGAGTGGCATCAAGCGCTTAGTAATGGCGCTGACAACATCAACCTCGAGTCGATTGACAATGCTGCTGTACGTGAAATTTTGCGTAGAGGCCCTGTAATTGAGGCCGTATCTGAGCGCAGTGGAATACACTATGAACATGTTGCGGAAGATCTTGTAGATCCCATATTAGTAGATGCTGCAGTGGCGACTGGGCCAGAGGATTCCGACGCAATGTCGATCTCCTCTTACGACTCAATGCCACCTCTCGAAGAGATCCCTGACCCTGAGTCTGTTGTACCGGACTTTACTGATGTACGCGCTCGCGCTTACAGGCCATTTGCGCATGTTAAGTCATGAATTACTATGGACGAGGTATGAATTACTTCGCAGCCTCAAACACTACCGGCCAAGTGCAGAAGATCACAAACACATTCACGAGTGATTGCTCAACCAAGACTGGATGGTACATTCTATGAACATACCAGATCTGTCTTATGAATACTTAGATGAGCCTTCACTCGACACTACAATCACACTCGCTCAACAAGTGCTGAGCAATGATGCAGAAATGCACGACCCACCTCCGCCATATCCTGCACTACGAGCCATGTCAGCTCGTGCTGCTATGCACACTTCTGATGCACCCAGTTCAAGCTCACAGCCCCTCGCAACGCGCGCAACCGTGCGACGCGCTGTAATGGGCCGTTGGCCTGACTTAACACGGTATGATCAAACTTGCCTGACTGCATATTTGACCATCAATGGGCTTCAAGCCCTGGTATTGCTTTATTCTGGAAGTACTACTGATTCTATTAGTCCAGATTTCGCTCGAGTTGCAGGCATACAAGCCTTCGAACTCGAGAATCCAGCCATCCTGCAACTGGGATGTGTTGGCAGTTGTTCGCGCATCAACTATGGCGCGAACATACCTGTACTTTGGGGAATGTTCCGAGGTGAAGTCTATTTTGATGTGGTGAACCTGGATCGCTATGATGCCATGCTTGGCACACCATTCATGTGAAAGTTTGGTGTATGTCTCGACTTCTCACAGTTGGTGATCTGCATTGGACAGCATGCAATACTGGCACTGCTTCCATGGGAGGAGGAGGACACTGCCAATCATCGGTGGCGAACATTTCCTTCTCGCCGCACCACTGCCAATGTAACGACACAGATGGCTAATCTGCCTGTGCCTGTGCCTTCGCATTCACATTGACTAGCCAACCACTGGCACAGCAGTGGTGAATCAATGGATTCACTGCAAACTGTGTCCTTCCATCACATTACAGCTAATTACCGATCTATAGATAATGAAGCACGTATTGCACAAATGCGTGAACAATTAATGCACAAATATGCAAACTTATTTGGTCCAGTCCCACCAGGACTTCCTCCGGTGAGAGAAGTCAACCACAGGATCCCTCTTATTGATGAGAATAAGAGGTATACCTATTACCTACCAAAATGCACAGACTTTCTCAAGCCAAAACTGCTTGAGAAGATTCAATTGTACACTGCTAATGGATGGTGGAAGGAATGTCAAATGGAGCAAGCTGCTCCGATGCTCTGTATTGTGAAGAAGGATGGTGGTCTTCGCATTGTCGCAGACATTCAGCAACATAACACAAATACAATCAAGGACATCACTCCATTTCCGGACCAAGACCAGATCCGGCATGATGTTGCACACGCACCATATCATTCAAAGATTGATATGTCAAACACTTATGAGCAAGTGCTCGTGGACCCCAAGGACATCCATAAGACTGCCTTCGCGACAGTCTATGGTACATTCTACAGCCTCGTTATGCAGCAGGGAGATACTAACGCTCCTTCAACATTGGTAAGTTTGTACACGTCTACTTAGACAATGTTTTTGTATTCTCAGACACTATTGAGGAACATGAACAGCATCTCGAGTGGGTACTCAAGAAGCTGCACAAAAATTGGCTGTATCTCAGTGTGAACAAGTGCACCCTTTTTGCAAGGCGAGTCAATTGTCTCGGCCATGTCATTGACGAAAAGGGACTGCATGCTGACACGGGCAAGATGTCTCGCGTTCGCAACTGGCCTGTACCTCACAACTGTCACAAAGTACAACGCTTCTTGGGCCTCATACAATACCTTGCTCACTTCATGCCCAATCTCGCTGCTTACACAGGTCCGCTTTTGAGCATCACATGAAATGGTCAGTCTTTCAACTGGTGTCCGATCCACCAGAAATGCTTTGATGAGATCAAAGCACTTGCGTGTAAGACCCCCGTCTTACACCCTTTTGACCCTCGAAACTCAGACCCAATCTGGGTAATTACTGACACGTCTACGTCAGGTGTTGGTGCAGTGTATGGCCAAGGTCCTCAGTGGGATAGCTGCTGCCCAGCTGGCTTCATGTTGAAGAAGTTCATGCCTGTGCAGCATGCGTATTTCACGTATGAAATGGAGGCTCTCAGTGTACTCAAAGCTCTTCTCAAATGGGAATATAAGCTCATACGCTGACATTTTAACATTGTCACTGATCATCATGCACTTGTCTTCATTCAGGACAAGCGCAAACTCGCACCACGACTCGAGCAATGGACTGAATATCTCAGTCGATTCGACTTTGAGATTGTCTATGTACAAGGCTCAAAGAACCTTGTTGCGGACTCATTTTCGCGTTATTTTGCTGACGAAGGTGTGGACGTACTACACAAGCCACAAGACTATGTATCTGCTGACATTAGGATTGACCCATGTGGCGAGACACTCTCAAACCCTCGTCCCACCAAAATCCGTGCTCAACCTGTGCGTGCGTGAAGCCGAGGAACTCGCAGCACACCTGCCACAAGTGGCACACGCACAGGATCAAGAGACGGATCCACCGGATGAAGACTCGGAGTCTCGGACCCAATTACACTCGACTCTGCAGTCTCCGGGCCACCATTGGATACAATCATCCAACAAGCTCTGGACCTGCACAAGACGAATCAGACAATCCGGTCGGGATACTCGAAAGATCGACTATTCCAGGCAATCATTGAGCACCCGGAAGATCATTGCGCATTCCCACTGCGCGACAGCCTATTATGGTATCAACCGTGTGCTGACTGTGAAGTACTGTGCGTCCTGCAAATAACGGTACATTGTCGAGTACTCCCTGAGATTATTCTCAGTGAAGCACATACTGCCATTGGACACTTAGGTACTTGTCGCATGTCAGACTACGTACAATGATGGTATTGGTGGCCGAACATTGGTAAGGATATTGCTTCCTTCTGTGCGAGTTGCACCACTTGCCAAACTACTAAATTCTCACGTCAAAAGCCTACCGGCTTGCTCCACAGCATGCCAATACCGACGCGGCCTTGTCAATCAGTCGGAATGGACTTTGTTGGTCCATTTCCGACGTCGCAAGGCTCCGACTATCTGCATTAGCACATGTGAGATGTACTGTCTTGCATTGGCCTACAACAGTCAGCACAATGTGAAGTCATGGGATTGTCTGATTTTATCTTATTTCCTACTATTTATCTAGCATTGCAGAGACAATCAGACTTTGATATACTATGTGTGGTAGTGTGGTGGCCCCACCTTATGACATTGCTAGCCTACAGATTTCCTCACAACAGTAGTAACTGCATAACACAACTTGTACCATTGAATGTCTTTGTATCACTTTGTAGGATCAGTCCAGTGTGAAAAAGCTCTGTGGACCCACAATTCTGATGGCTATGCTATTGACATGTGACACAGAGTCAGTATTCTGAGCATGCTCAGCATGAACTGTGGCCTTTGTGCCACAGGTGTCCACCATTTTCTGAATATGCCATAGCCTGCCCAAGGGTTTAGAGAGAGAAGCCAATCACTACTTACAGCAAACAGTACAAGGTGAGCCTGAGTGGTATTTTGGGAATTTTCCGCATTTTAGTGGGGCCACAGTACAGCAGGTACAGTGCCACTAAGGAGCCTGTGGCTGAGATTCAAACTCAGCTCAAAACCTCGGCAGCCTGCCTGATTAGGGCAGAAAAGGGCTTGTCACCAATCAGAGCAGCTTGGCATCCCTCTCATGCCATTCGGAGGTGCAACTTTGCCAAATTTCCGCATGGATGCACCTCCGAACGGCATCTGGGCGCCTAATGGGCGCTTAGTAAGCAATGTAAGTGCGGACTGTTACTGTGCTTAAGAGAGCTTGTTTAGACTCAGAAAAAAGCGGAAAATTGAGACAATATTCAAAATGAGCCAGGCAATGTGAATAAAGCTGTATATGGCATGGGTTTGACATCAGATCAGATAGCATTCTCAATAACCTGGTAAGATGGTTGCTGTGGCCCCAGTGAGCTTATATAAGCCTGCTACTTCACTCTTGGAACTGCTCATGTACTGGACAACCCTATAAGATCATAGTGTAAGTACACATTCAGGTATGTATCCCTAGATTGTGTCTGTGAGCAAGACAAAGCCAGCAGTGGATGCATAATTACCATATGGAGTATGTGACCTTCCCAAAGAGGAATCATACACAAACAGGGGCATGTAGGGCTCAGAGAAATGCAGAAAATCTATGAAATATACAGATACATCAAAGACAAGTGTATGATTGCCTTGAGCTGCAATGGTTACCATTACATTGTATGCAAGGGCCATAAGATGGCAAAAGATGCTCAGATTACCCATTATAGTCCTTGTTACCTGTATTATTGAAGCTACTGAGTAGTCCACAGTGTCTGAACTACACATATACATTGCAGTGTACATATAGACCATATTTGAGTCATAAACAAGCAGATTGAATCTGCAGAGGCACATGTGCATTTTTTTGCTTTGCATTTCCTGGGTTAGCCAGCCACTGTATACACTCAATAGAATTTCTGTATACTCTCTGAATGAAGGGCTATCAGATGAGCATACTATGTATACTATGATTTGTTACTGGCTGAGGCTATATAGGCCCTACAGTGTGTGAGTGCTTGGAGCAATGGCCCACCAAGCTGCCAGTCACATGATATGTTTACCAGTTTCCTTATTGAGGGAACTGCTAAGGTGTTTCATCGGCCTCATATCCATAACTGAGTGCTTAGCCACTGCATTTGTTTGTATCTGTTGGTCCAACTTGTGTCGTCTGGGAGTCTGAAATTTCAGACTCAGATAAGCAACCCATACTAACAGTTACTTATCTCTGCTTATCGGGGTGGCTGCAAGTCACGTGCACTGTGGGAACAAACTGCCATTCCGGAGGAATTCCTAAGGTGTTTCATGGTGGTCCATCATAAGAACGATACCTTCGTACCTCAGGGATCATAATTCACGGCAAATCTAGATAAATTTCACAACTGCATTCTGAGTGGACTAAGCACGGGGACATCTGCAATGGTATTGTCCAGCACACAGTGAGTGATCTTGTCCATTTCTGGGGCCTTGCACCAAGCATGCCCACAAGCCTTGTCTTCTGATACCACTATGATGTTGTCAAAAGCCTCTTCCCTGTGTACATGGCCTACTGGGTCTCCAACAAATACCTGAAGGACTGTTGCAGCGTTGTGAATTCACTCACAGTCTTTACTTGGAACTCAACCTCATGCCACAAGTACTGCCAGATATGCCTCATCTTTTAAAAAGCAGAGACCACACTGAATGTCAGTATATTCATTTGCCATGCTCACAATGGTTATCTTGACCCAGATCATGTCCTTGGTAAGTCTTCCACTGGCATCCTTTGTTTTCACACTGACTGAGCTTAAACAGATCTCATCAAGATGCAAGTGTATATTGAATGTTCCAGTCCATATGCATGTATTATTGTGGTCACCAAGAGTCCAACAAGCTGGTTCAATGGCATGATGGTGTATGACTCAGTGTATGAGTGGAAGGCCTGGGCTGTGAAATACAACCACACCATCTCTACGGGGATCTGTCTACCTGGGAGGAGAAGGGGGGTGCACAGCTGAAGACCTTCGTGGAGGGATACACCACTGAAGTGCATGAAGCAGTGCGTCACACACAAATCTGCTCGTTGTTGCAGCACTAAGGTGAACTGGGCAAATAGGTGGGCACAAAACCAAGGCAACACGGAGAAGGAGATAAAGGTGACCAAACTGTGCAGGGTACACATTGTTTGTTTTTTCATATCCAGGGGTCTCTCTTACTGTCCGCAGAATGGTGGCAAGAAAGGCACCACAGCTAGGGCTGATGGTGTTGGCAACGGTACTACAGAAGCCGGTCACAGTGCAATCATTTCGGGGAACCCTCTACCAACACGGGAGCCCTCCAAATGTGTTGTAGTGCATGCCTCTGCTGCGGTAGGCTGATTTCCCCGTCATTGCTTTTCTTTTTACTGTGTTTAACTGTATCCAACTCTCTCACCAGCGGGCTCAGGCCACTCAGCATGGCTCCGGTATGTGCTTACCCATAGTTCCACAACTCTACTCAGAAAAAAAAAATTATTGGTCTGCAGAAGTGCAACACAAGCCAGGCAGCACATGCCCCTGTCAATTCTCAGATGCAACATTGGCATTGTGACACAGTGTTCTCAACAGCCCACAACAAAGGAGATAGTGGGAGCAAGAGCAAGAGCGAGGATGCCATCATGGGTCCTGATGTGCAAATGGATGATGTTGCTGACGTCAATGGCAGGGTCAACATGGCCCTCAGCCTTTGCGTTATCCTCAGAGAAAATGACACTCAGGCTGGAAGCAGGGATTGTGATGGACACGATGTGCAGGACCCGGGAAATACAACAGAGGTTGCTGTGCCGATGTCATCTCAATTACAATCCCTGAGGTACAAAGGAATCATTCTTATGACTGGAGAGAATGTAACACTTAGCATGGAGCCCAATGTGGCAGGTTTTCCCCACAGTGCATGTGACTGTTTGAGTGCCAGATAACTGGTGATAAGTAACACTTACTATGCTCACATTAGCTGAGTTTCAAATTTCAGACTCTCAGACGACGCAACTTGCACCAACACACCCAAACAAATGCTGTGGCTGACAATTCCCCATGGACTTGGGGCTCCTGTAATGTCTAGCTTGGAGCCCAATATGGAAAGTGGTGAACATGGCATGTGACCTAACCAGCAGCACTGCGCTCCAATATAATCAATCACTTTTTGGAACAGTAAGCACTCACAAATAGATATGGCAAGTATACAGTCAACTTGTAGCCCTTGTTTCGTAGAGTCTACAGTAATTTTGTTGTGCCCCAATAGTGGCTAGTTAGGCCAGAAAATGCAAAATACAAAAAGAAACACAAGAGACTTTGCAGAATTCAAACTGCTCATTTTCACCCTAGATATGTAGCACACAACCCATACAGTATAGCCATGTGTGTCAGACATCATGAAATTGCTTTATGGTGCCACAACAGAGCTCAAAATGGGCAAGGACAGCTCATTTGATGCTTTCCTTGTACATGGTATTATAGCTTACCTGCCATATATGGTAACATGTTGTAAACATCACAGGCCTCATCACCATGTCATAGTACTCTATGAATATCTTCTGATTTATCTGCAATTTATGAACCACCAGACATTCACTTTGTTGGGAATTACTGGATTTGGAAGGTTGCTCACCATTTAGGGCAATGTGAGCTTTTGTGATACTTCTTGTGCAATAAGCCCTCCCACAACTTGCTTGAAATGTACATTTCCATGGTTCACATCAGCTACACATCACTATCTTTGTATACATGTCTCTGTTGTACCAGAAAAGGGACAATGGCCACTGGGTCTAGCCAGTCACATGATCAATGACGTGGGGTCACAGCAGTGGCTTGTTGCCCTGCCTAGGAACCCCCCTCAACTTAGGCTTGTCGCCTTTGCCTAGGACCCCCACTTGACCCAGCCCTATAGCTCGGCATAGGACTCCCCACTGGATCCAGCTCGTCACTGGCAATCCAGGACCTCATTGCGCTCCCTATAGCAAGGCTCGTCGCCCTGCTAAGAACTCCAGCAGGCCTTCCTCACCCTGCTCACGACCCCTAGCCTCCTCTTCTCCCCCGGTTGCACCACGATCACTGATCCGTATGTTCACAAGCCAGCCCGGCCCCTGAATCTAGGGTTCTGAGCCCACGAGCCCTAACACAGTAACACTTTCTGATGAAGAAATATGCAAATGCTCTGTGTCTTGTGGTACTGCAATGAGGAATGAGCTGAGCAACAATAATGTAAGCACCTCTGTTACTACCATAATACTGCTTCATGATTTCAATTTGGCTTGCACAAGGCTCTTGTTATTGTCACAGTTTGACTACATGGAAGTTAGTCTCACAGACTAGTATATATCAATGTATTTGATAAGTGAGATTCAAGCAATGATTTTATGAGCCAGAAGACAAAAGACACAGACAATACAACTGGGATTGTATTGCCATGCATGGCCCACTCCCCAGCAAGTGCATGACTCAAGTGCATATTTTCCTCTGTCTCACCAGCACAGGCCTTTGAATAATAAATGTTTAAGCAGGGCTCAGTTGTACCGGACCCAACACAGGAGACTGCGCGCAAGGGTACCAAAAGATGGGTGAGCTCTTGTACGGGTTTGCGGCAGGTTTGAGTGGTGAAGGTGTTTTTTGCAGTGCTCCTCCTCACCCACTTCATCACAGCGGAAGCACCCATGCCCATGCCAGACCCGGTAGCCTCCATCCATACTGATCTGGGACAGAATTCATCCAAAAATCACAAGTCTAATATTGTCAATGGCACATTCACCTAGTCCATGAGGGCGCTTTGCAGCACGCGCTGGATGAAGCTTCCACATCACTTGCAAGGTGAGAGTCATACTGCACAAAGGTCTCAGAAGAGCTCATAGCATGCCCACCAGCCGCGGTCCTGCTGCATTTGGCTTATGCTCCGGAACACCAGCAAAGCAAAGCGGAGCAATGGGCCCAATGAGATCATCTGTCATGGCTGTCTGGTGGAGTCATATCCCCTGCCATCCTCACTACCCCCAGAAGATGAAGCCTTGGTTGATGATTTGCTTTCACAGCACGGAGTGGTGTCAACATGTGCCAGGAGCAAGTGTGTGACAAGGATATTTTTTGCTTGACACCTGGCCAACGGGTCAACAATGAAATCATCAACTTTGAATCATGGCTCATGCTGAAGCCAGAAAGACAATTTACAGCAGGGAAGAACTGCTCAATGTCCATCGCCTCAGCTCATTCTTCTTGCACAAGCAGGAGAACCAGGGCTATGATAAGGCGAATTTAGTGAAGTGGACAAAGGAAGTACATCATTTCCTCTAGCAATGGTTTCTCCAGATCACCACATGGCAACTATGTAGCTCAATATCTTCTCCAAGGACATGATCCTTATTCCTGTCAACCGCCAAAATCAACACTGGACTGCTGCCGCTATCAACTTCCGCCGCAGACAGATTGAGTTGTATGATAGCATGGGTACCCCCAGGCCAAACATCTTCAAGGTATGGATTATGCATTGCCTTAGGTTAGGGGGCAGAGCAAAAATGCAAGCAAAGTGAGTGTTTGAGTGGAGCCAGGCGACAGGGTGGTGGGGGACTCCACTGGCGAACCTGTTTCGCTCTTTTATAGAGCTCATCAGGCCTGCTTAGGTAATCAACAGATTATACTCTATGTGCTAAATGGGCAAGTACAAATGGGCCACTTAGTCAATGTCTCTTACACATACTCACTTCCATCTGACGGTAACAGATGGGTCATGTGTTCCAGGCGCTCGACACAGGCACTGGCGGAGCCGGGGCCCAACATTGATAGGGCCAAATATAATAATATATTAAAATGAAGGTGTTGAATTTTGGGCTGAACGTTGGTATATAGGTAGCTCTATACTAGTATAGTAATGACACAAAAAATGGGACAAAACAGCGGACCAGTTCCTGAGCTATAAGCATACCAATTTCATTGTTTGGCACAGTTCCCTTTTGCAGTACCTGCATAAGTGAACATAGGGGGAAGATTGTTTGTAGAACCATGCTCCATTTAACTGTAGGATGCATGCTGTAAAAGGGCTTGGCCATAGGATGAGCAGTTGTTGCTGTAGGGTGGCAAAAACATGTCTGGGAGAACATGTTCCACCCGCCATACCACAAGGACAAACATTTAGGACTAGCTTCTTTGGGGTGAAAATGATCCTATTGGGTGTATGATATTGGGTACCAAAGGGTGTGGCAGTAGTGGGTGTGGTCGTGGCTGTAGGTGGGGCCGAAGGTACCCAGGGGGGAGGAACAGGTGTTGTCACGCTACAAGGAGTGGGTTATATGACTAGCTTCATTGGAGGGAAAGTGATCCATTTGTATGTAGTATACTAGATATGGAAGGACTTGGGGCCACAAGGTCTGGGTGTGGCGGTAGGGGGGGTCAGTCATACCCAAGCAGGTGCTGTTGCACTACACAGAGTGGGTTATATGACTAGCTTCTTTGGAGTGAATGTGTTCCATTAGACTATAGAATGCCATATATGGAAAGGATTGGCAGTAGCAGATCTGGTTGCAGCGGTAGGTGGGGTGGAAGGTACCCACACTGGAGGAACCAACACTGTTGCGGTACAAGGAGTGCTCAGCCATTACGATCCCTGAGGTACGAAGGTATCGTTCTTATGATGGACCACCATGAAACACCTTATGAATTCCTCCGGAATGGCAGTTTGTTCCCACAGTGCACGTGACTTGCAGCCACCCCGATAAGCAGAGATAAGTAACTGTTAGTATGGGTTGCTTATCTGAGTCTGAAATTTCAGACTCCCAGACGACACAAGTTGGACCAACAGATACAAACAAATGCAGTGGCTAAGCGCTCAGTTATGGATATGAGGCCCATTGAAACGCCTTAGCAGTTCCCCCAATAAGGAAACTGGTAAACATATCATGTGACTGGCAGCTTGGTGGGCCATTGCTCCAAGCGCTCACACACTGTAGGGCCTATATAGCCTCAGCCAGTAACAAATCATAGTATACGTAGTATGCTCATCTGATAGCCCTTCATTCAGAGAGTATACAGAAATTCTATTGAGTGTATACAGTGGCTGGCTAACCCAGGAAATGCAAAGCAAAAAAATGCACATGTGCCTCTGCAGATTAAATCTGCTTGTTTATGACTCAAATATGTTCTGTATGCACACTGTGATATATATGTGTAGTTCAGACACTGTGGACTACTCAGTAGCTTCAATAATACAGGTAACAAGGACTATAATGGGTAATCTGAGCATCTTTTGCCATCTTATGGCCCTTGCATACAATGTAATGGTAACCATTGCAGCTCAAGGCAATCATACACTTGTCTTTGATGTATCTGTATATTTCATAGATTTTCTGCATTTCTCTGAGCCCTACATGCCCCTGTTTGTGTATGATTCCTCTTTGGGAAGGTCACATACTCCATATGGTAATTATGCATCCACTGCTGGCTTTGTCTTGCTCACAGACACAATCTAGGGATACATACCTGAATGTGTACTTACACTATGATCTTATAGGGTTGTCCAGTACATGAGCAGTTCCAAGAGTGAAGTAGCAGGCTTATATAAGCTCACTGGGGCCACAGCAACCATCTTACCAGGTTATTGAGAATGCTATCTGATCTGATGTCAAACCCATGCCATATACAGCTTTATTCACATTGCCTGGCTCATTTTGAATATTGTCTCAATTTTCCGCTTTTTTCTGAGTCTAAACAAGCTCTCTTAAGCACAGTAACAGTCCGCACTTACATTGCTTACTAAGCGCCCATTAGGCGCCCAGATGCCGTTCGGAGGTGCATCCATGCGGAAATTTGGCAAAGTTGCACCTCCGAATGGCATGAGAGGGATGCCAAGCTGCTCTGATTGGTGACAAGCCCTTTTCTGCCCTAATCAGGCAGGCTGCCGAGGTTTTGAGCTGAGTTTGAATCTCAGCCACAGGCTCCTTAGTGGCACTGTACCTGCTGTACTGTGGCCTCACTGAAATGCGGAAAATTACCAAAATAATCTCTGTGATAGGTATGATGTCATAGAGTCTATAGCTGCTGTGACTTGCCCATTACCTTCAGTGTTTATGGCACAATTCACAAAACAAAAAAACATGCAAATGCCTCTGTGCACATGAGTGCATACATTTTCACCTCAAAAGTCTCTCTTTTGAAGCCTATATGCTGCCCACAGATTCTCTGACATCTCAAACCTGCTAAATAGGGTAGCTGACCTTCCTAAAATGGTAATTTTGCTTAACCTGCTCAGTCTGGGCTCACAAAATGCAGATAAAATCAGGGAATATTATGTGTAATCAGACTCATCTGTATTGCATTGTATATGAAGGCAATTCATCTTGTATGGAGGCCCCCACAATATATGACTAGTATGACTTGCCCAGTTGTTTGAAATTCAGGAAACAGAGAAACACATGCATGAATGTGTGGCATTTGACTGGGATACACTGACTGAAATCTAATTAACTCTTATAGAGGTTATAGAGATGATAAACTCATTTGATAGCCCATCATTTCAAGGGTTAATCATACATTGGAGGAATGAAGAACAAAGGACAACATTTAGAGAATCACAAGTGACTGTGCCAATATGAATGGCCTGTTGTCCCTGAAACACATTGCCTATGACCTGTAAGATATGTGCATAGTTTACAATGCATGGATGTGTCTGGAAGTTGCACAGCACAGCTATTGGTGGGGGAAAATGGTAATAACATGCGTGTTTTGATGTCTCAGCACTGAATGACTATATAGGGAATCTTCTCCACTTGTAAATATGCTCAGGGATGCTCCACATATATCCTGGAATATTGTCTGATTAATCCGCATTTTCTTGACCCCAGAACAAGTGAATTGTGCTGCAGTAACAGTGTGCACTTACATCGCTTACTAAGCGCTCGACTAAGCGCCCGTTGCCGAAGCGGAGTCGTCGACAGGCCGGAATTCCGGCCTGTCGACGACTCCGGTCACTCAAAGGGGATTTTGGAGCACTCCCATTGGCTGAAATGCTGACAAATGTTCCCTTTTAAAGTAATCTTTCAGTCTCAGCTCTTCATGCCGAGTTTTTTGATGGCTTCAAGCCACACTAACTGAGCTCTTACTAGAACCCCATTAAATGCGGAAAAATCCCAAAATATTGCTTCTCCATGGAATGGCCCTTGAGTACTGACAGGGGTGCCCAGATTAGGTGTTCTTGTTGTTTTTCACAGAGTACTGACCTTGGCAAGTGATACTGGGGATATAAGCAAATGTTGGTGTGTGTATGATGCTTGTACAAGACAGTTCTTACATGTATGAGAGTGGAGGATATCAAACATACAAAACTGCCATATATGGTTAGTCCCCTGCCCATTTGGGAAGTTGGCCGTGCGTGGCCTCTGCAGGACTGGATAAATAGCAGGAAAATCAGAGAAAAATCAGATAGTACTATGGATTCATATTGAGTTGACTGTTGAGGCTCCAATATGGCAGAAAACATATAATAATGCAGAGATTCCCATGCATAGCCTGATACAAGCCACTCTGTCAGTGAGTCTTGGTCCATCTTGTAAGAACCAGTATCACCTGGGATTCTCAGAGACTGGCAGCTCCAGACAAGATCCTAGGCTATTCTGTTCAGTTCAACTCCTCAATAGGCCCTGTGAAGATAGGTTATTGGGCTGAGTTTGAATGCAAGCCACAAGCTCATCAGTGACACTGTATTTACTGTGCTATGGTCTCCCAAAAAATCAAAAACAATTGGGAATATTCCCAGTCATGTATATGATGTCAGAGAGGCTGTACATAGTATGCCTTCCCATGGATTCATATAAACATGGCACCCACCATTCACAAAGCAAAATAAAATACATATTCCTCTGTACACACTGGTTCTTTCACTTTGTTTGTGTTTCCTGTGATGCTTGCCAACTGCCTATGGATTGTGTGGCTATATGAGACCTGAATGAAACCTGCCATATGTGGTACCTGACCTTCTCAAAATGGCAAGTCCGAGTTATCTGCTGTGTCTGGGCTCAGAAAATGCGGATTAAACAAGGGAATATTCTGTATGATTCCACTCACCTTGTACTGCTTGCTATAAGTATTGATTGGCTCATGTCTAAACCCTTTGGCAGGCAATGGCATATGCAGAAAATGGTGAACACCTGTGGCACAAAGGCCACAGTTAATGCCGAGTATGTTCATAATATTGGCTCTGTCTCACATGTGAATGGCATAGCTATCAATATTATGGATTCACAGAGCTTTATGACACTGTACTGATCCTAGAAAGTGATAGAAAGACATTGTACAAGTTGTGTTGTGCATCTACTACTATTGCTAGAAAGTCTATAGGCTAGCAATGTCATAAAGTAGGGACACCACACATAGGTGATCAAATGCTTTGATGGTCTCTGCAATGCTAGATAAATGGTAGGAAATGAGATAAAATCAGATGATCCCACGACATCATATTGTGCTGACTGTTGTAGGCCAATGCATGACAGTACATCTCAGATGTGCTAATGCAGAGTTCACAGCCTGATGTCTGCAGCTCTATTGTCCCAGTCCAGTATAAGCATGTCTTTGACTGATTGTATCAATATGAAGCAGTGCCAATTATACAGTATGATGGTGCCATGCTTGGTTGTTAATTGCTCATATAATTTTTGCCTGGAGCATATCTAATGTCTGTATGCACTACCATCATCCTATTCTCATGCAATGGCCCTTGGTATGTGAAGATAGAATAGGCAGCCCTTGGCTTGTTCATATGGGCAAAAATGTATTGACAGTGGTGTCTGTTTGTG